TCAGTGCTGCTGAAGCTCCTCTGCGTTTTGTGGTTACGATGGTGACCAATTGGCAACGCTCATATGAATAATTGGTCAAGCGCAGTAGAACTAAAAAAAACCTTACTCCAACAGGCTCTGTGATTATGTGTTTCCAGTCCTTCACCAGTGAGCTTCTCCAACCCCAGTAAAGCAGAGAAGCAGGAGCTCCGCATGAATGAGCGATTTATAGAGTTGTCTATGGTGGGGATTGAGGGATATATAGAGATTCATACAGAGAGACTGATTACATCTTACAGGGTTAACAGAGCAGCAGAGACTCCGGCAGGTCGAGCTATTACAGCCTCACTAAGATGGAGAGACAGAAAGTAACAGAGTCATGAGACTCCTTGAGATGTCGGCGCCCCTCCGCCCCACAATCAGCAAACCTGAGTGAACGCATGAGGACAGCAGGACGACAGCACCGACACTCCCAGTTTACCATAATATTCTATGACCACGAACCCCCAGATCTGCACCTTTTATCTAACAGGGAAAACTAAGTACCAAAGGCTCGAGTAAACAAGTAGACTGAGACTGTGTCTGAATCTCAAACACTGACCGGAAGGTTATTCCAAAGCTTTGGGGGCTTTGTATGAAAATGTTTTATAATAATTCGGCGTTCAGAGCTGTATGTGTCTGTAAAATAATGTTGTAATGAATGCAAAATTTAATTGGCAACCAGTGTAGTTTTGATAAAACTGGGCTGATATGGTCAAACTTCTAGTTTTTGCTGCAGCGTTCTGTAGCTTGAAGCTGAACTGAAGCTTGTTAAGGCTTTTGCTGGAACATCCAGGCAGCAGGGTATTGCAGTAATCCAGCCTTGAGGTAATAAAGGCATGTACTAGCTTTTCTGCATCCGGATTTCTTAGTATTTCAATAATACAAAGATGAAGGAAAGCTCTTCTAGTGATAACAGTTACATTTACATCTAAGAACAGATTTAACTTTCTAATTGATGTACTAAGATGTTACTTCAGGATTTCTAGATAATCGTCCTTCTTCGTAATGTTACTGGTGCATTTTTCTGAATGCACTAGCCTCTGTTCCAGCAAAACGCCTCCACAACGTAATGCATAGAATGCATCCAGACTGGCTAAACAGAGCTAAAATTCTAAGTTTATGATTTTTAGATATTTTTGTTGCATTTCTGATTTTCTTTACTCTTTTTCTTTTTCAGAACTGCAGTCCTGCATCAAGTCTTTTCCAGCTTTAAATTTATTTCTGCCTTCATGGAAGTGATTCTGTCAAGAGGCAAGGTTCAAATGTTCTTAAATTAGGGCAGATAAAACATTTGAAAATGGATTTCAGAAGAAACTGCAGTACCCAAAAATCATCCTCTGAAAGATCTTCCAGAAGAACACAGAGAAATACAGGCAAGGAGAGAACTCACTGCTGCCTGGCGTGTGGGAAAAGTTTCACTGGTCAGCGTAATCTCAAAGTTCATCAGCGCATTCACACAGAGAAATGTTATGTTTGTTCAGACTGTGGCAAGAGTTACCGCAAAAGAGGTACTCTTAAAGCACACCAGCGCATTCACACTGGAGAGAAACTGCATCACTGCTCAGAGTGTGGAAAGGGTTTCACTCAACAGCATAATCTCAAACTACACCAACACATTCACACAAAGAAACCATTACAGTGTTCAGAGTGTGGAAAGAGCTTTAGTCAAAAGACTCATCTCAATCTACACCAACACATCCACACCGGAGAAAAACCGTATGTCTGTTCAGACTGTGGAAGCAGTTTTAGCAGAGGAGACACTCTTAAAGCACACCAGCGCATTCACACAGGAGAGAAACCGTATTTTTGTTCGGAATGTGGAAAGAGTTTTGCTGATTTGAGTAATCTTAGAGTACATCAGCGCGTTCACAGAGGAGTCAAACTGTATTTCTGCTCAGAGTGTGGAAAGAGCTACAGACATTCACCTAGCTTAATGAATCACAAGTGCATTAAGAGGGAGGACAAAACTCAGGCTGTGTCTCAGTTTGCTAACTAGTTCCGTGTATAGCGTATCAGAAAATAGAAAATATGAATCTGGGTGCTGGCTGGGTCTTTGGACGTGGGAACATTGGGGCACTGACGACAACACAATGCCAGCAACACTGACTGTGCAGCTCATCCACTGTGCTGTGACTAGTCCTACTGTCATTTTTAGGGTGGACTATTCCAGTCATTTCATCAACATTCTCATTTTGTTTAGACTGTGACCCGATGTTTTAAACAAAATATTCTTCTTGTTTGTTTATGAATTTTTTATAATATTCATCCCATTATGTAAAATGTGTAGTTTTATTCAGGTTTTCTGTATACATTTTTAAATTGATGTCTATGAAACAAGCTCTCATACTTCTTGATAAAAAAGAAACATAAATAGAGATATAATTTAGATTGTTATAATTTGTCTTATGTTTCTGCCCGTGTTGGAGCCCTTGATGTTGCTCCAGCTCCATCTTGTTCAAAAAATGACCCCAGCTCTGTGGTTCCAGTGTGAGCTCGCTGTGGTCCAGGTGTTTTTGGACGCTTTGCACCGTTTCTCTATAGTCTACTGCTACATCAACTATAGATAGCAAATAGTTCATGATCAGGACTGGGCTGCACCAGTTTTGTGCAAATTTATACTTAAGTTTGTGTGTCAAGTCTTTATTCCTTAGTTACACTAGTGAGTTTCTTACTGTCCTTGTACTAAATTTGGTTGCACCTCAAATTCGTAAGTCATGTCTTAACTAACAACTAACTAAAGCGTCCTTTAACAGAACGATAACACTGACTGAATATCCAGCCTAGAAGAGACCGATGTATACAGGTTAAACTGAATAAGAAACCAAATACGCAGCTTTTTATACGCCCGTTTCTGGATAACCGACACAACAGCAGCCTCAGTTTAACCTTTCGGCTGCTGAGTCTCTCTGAGCTGGAGCTGTGGGTGTTTAGCTTCATGCTTGGAGTTTAAACCAGGGCGATGATTAGAGCTGTGAAGAAAATCACAGCGTACAGCATTTAGAGTTTTTAGCTTAGTAACCAAAAAAATTGTTTTTTGACTGTGATGTTCATGTGTTTTTAGATATTTTTCCCAAAACATACACCTGTTTGGGGATATTTAGTAGCCACTAAGCTCAGCTTTCAAACTAGTTTGTGTGGTGCAACATGTTCTGATTTAGTAATGCGTAAACCTGAACTTAGTGAACACTTACATTACAACTAGCCTACGTTTGAACTTGTAAACATACCCTGTTTTTGGGAATGTAATGTAGAGATCAGTTAATAAGCTGATCCTCATGTTCTTTTTCAAGCTGATGGAGACCTCAGACCAGTGTTAATTGCTTTAATGAAAACTATGATGAAATATTCGATGATAACCTATTTTTCATGAATAAAACGTGATGAGAACCGAGGAGCCATGGCAGAATTTTCTGATTGACCGCAGGGGTGGAATAAACCAGATTTTTTGGGGAGCCATTGACACCAAACGTCACGTTGTTGAATTCCAGACAAACCCAGAGTAATACAACAAAAATAAAAGAGTACATATCGTCCTTCTGACTTTCTCCACCTGGAATAAACACTCCACACTAATAATGCTCTCCTCTGAAAATCAGCCATTTTCACCAGCACTGTGCTCACCATGGCAACGTTTTCATAGCTTCATGCTGTTGTTGCCTGTGCAACTCACAAAGTGCAGAATGACTTTTTTCAGTGCAAATATGTGAACATAGCATTAGTGTTAATCTGTACTGCAGTAGCAATAGCAGTAGGAGGAGGAAGAGGAGGAGAATATGTTGTTGCTGTTGTAACTCTTTATGCAGTTCAGATTCTGTTCGGTCACAGTGTATCTGTATTGTATGTACACATTTGTATCTGTGTATTTTTAAGCTATTGTTTATTAAAGTTATGAATAGTACCTCTAAAATAGTAAAACCTTTAAAAATACACAAAATTAGACTCTTTAGAAATTTAAACGAAAACTTGGCTAAAATGTTTTTAGTTTTCATCAACTAAAACTAGACTAAAACTAACAATAATTAAATGACTAAAACTAATATACATTTTAGACTAAGACTAAAACTAAATCCAATTTAGCTGCCAAACTTAGCACTGCCTCAGACAAACACTTAACAAACTTTGGAGATCTGATTATAAACAACATTTATAGCTGAATATATTTGAAGGTCTTTTTGGTGTTTTGAAGCTTCCAGCTGTAAAACTTCATTAAATATAATACAACTTCAAAGCAGCGCTATTTTAATTGGTCAAATCAAGCATTGGGAATCGTGCATCTGTTTGCCATCAACATTTTACAGAATGTGTAATTTATATATCAGATCAGTTCTAGTCTTTATCAAATGTGTTATTAATTCAAGTACAACACAAAAATTTTATATTTGGATTTTATGTTAAAGATTCCACTTCATTTTAATTGTGACAAAAACAAAAGACTGTAAAATAGAAACACTTGAAATGTCATTTTGTTTATGATTAAATTAATATTATGTATATTTAATCATTTATTATATTACTATTAGTAGCAGTAGTAGAAGTAGTAGTAGTGGTAGTACTACTATGCTGTTAATAATATTAATAATAATTTATGATAAAAACAATAGAATTAAATGCAACTGTAGACAAAGATAATGCTGATGCTAGATTGCCAGCCAGCCGTCAGCAACTTTGTAACTTTCTGACTAATCTAACAAAGGTCTAACTTTCACTCTAACATTTTCACTTTAAACGTAATAAATTGTATTTTTTCTATCAAAACTAAAACAAACCTCCCAATATTACATCTTAAATAAATCTGTGTTGAGAACAGAGGTCTGAGCCTGACTGAATTCTGGTGGTAATTAAATGGTTTACACCGACTGTGAACTGAAGATAAAATCCGTTTCTTAGATCTTTTGTTTCTAACCGCTCTGGAGTCTTCAGTGCTGCTGAGCTCATCAGCGTTCTGTGGTTACTATGGTGCCCAATCGGCGGACGCTCATATGAACAACTGGTCAATCTTGGTGCAGGAGGCGGGGTTTGACTCCATCAAGCAGTGTGGTCCCTTTGCAGTCCAGGTGGGGGCGCTAATTGTATCAGTGTGGTTCCCCTGTAGTCCAGGTGGGGGCGCTAATTGTATCAGTGTGGTCCCCCTGCAGTCCAGGTGGGGGCGCTAATTGTGTCAGTGAGCTTCTCCAACCCCAGTAAAGCAGAGAAGCAGGAGCTCCGCTCTGGTCAGCAGTCCACGCCTCCGCGCTGCTACAGTGTTGTTGGAGGAGACGAACAGGAGCTGCTCTCATCGAGGTACAACTCAGTTTAACAGCTCTACACTGGCTTTTACTGCACCAGCTCACTAACGCTGGGAGAGATGTTCACTTTCTGAACAGCAGGGTGAAAATATGGAGACCAGCTCAGGAGCAGCTTTAATCCAGACTTCACTGAACTGGAGAACTTACATATAGGTCTTTGGGTCATGTTGGAAAACAGTGTTTTCCTCGTTTAGTTCAGCAAAGGTACATCATTTTGTTTAGCCTTCATATGTGATTTATATGATGTTCTGAAAATTCTACTGAAACATCTAATACCAGCTTTTGTTGTTAGCTGGCTTCAGATGGTCTAAGCTTGCTTCTCAGCCGCTGGTCTGAGGAGTATGAAGCCCCCGCGTTAGGTGGCAGGAGTGCAGTACTCAGAGGAGTCTCTTTCTCATATCGTTTCATTGTTTTGCAGGTAGAGCACAGCTGTGCACGTCAAATATACAAACACCAACACATAATACCAAACCAAACGTAATAAAGTCTACCAATATGTCAGAACTACAGGCCTGTATTCTGAGCTTCTGCGCTCTGCACTTTATTTCCGCTCAAAGTAATGGTAGTTTATAAGTGTGGATGATATGGGTAATATGACCCTTTATTCTATTTCTGTTTGTTTGTTATTTGATTTTATGATTAGTTTGTGAAACTGTAAATTAAGTTGTTTCTTGATTTTTTTTCACTGACAATAACCGAACCAAAAACCGAGTTTTCAATACTGGATTTTAAAATGAAAATCAAATGAACAGAAGGCACACGGACCCCAACAGAAACTGACCAAAACGCCTTACAAAAAAAGATTGTAATATTGAGTCATATTGCATCTTAATGTTTTTGTCTTCTCCTGTAAAGTAAGATTTTGGTGATATGAAGTTTGGTCTGACAGCAAAGATATGACTGTAGGTGTTTCTCCTAAAATCCAGAATCAGTCCCTTTTGGTTTTGTAGAAATAATCAACAGGAATATTATTCTTTTCCAATTAATAGTATGTGGTCTCATCATCAGAGAAAATGAGGCCAAAATTTGTTATATCACTACTCAATCCTTATCTTAGGTTGTTATTATAGATGGATTTACAATCTTGTGTACAGCAGAAAAGGTTACAGCTTAAATAACAGTTTAGAAGTGTAAAATTAACAAGGTAGAGGTTTTCTTTATTTGTATATGGAATTGTGGAGGCCCTGAGTTTCAACATGAGCTTGTTCGGCCTGATAGTCTTAAAGGAGGATTCTGCCATTATTCAGAGACATTCAGGGTGCCTTGATGTGGTTTCCCATTTTTCTACAGCAGTGATGAGAACCAAAAGTCATGATGTCTACAATACAAATATAGCCATTTTGTTTACTATTCAAAAGCACCAGTGAACCCTAGTTTTATATTTAATGGTCATGATGGTAAAATCTGAAATAAAGTTTTCTTTGCAGATTATTCAATGCCTTGCATGTACCTTACCACATTAATGGATTAAAAAAAATATGTTTAAACTGAAACCTTCTTTAAACTGTCTGACGTCAGGCAGTATATTCATAACCATTATGCGTAGTAACTTTCTGTGAGGGAGCCTTTAGAGACAGTAAGCTCTTCAAATGTCTACCACAACTGCTGTAAAGATAAGTCTCTCTAAATTGGTGCTTCCTCACATCAAACCACTCTGACTATACTATACTATGCAAGTTTGGGGATTTAGAGACCTCTCTGGTGGAAATGTGTAACTGCATGCAGCATGCAGAAGAACATCGTATAGCATGGATTGTCCTTCAGACCCCATCCCAAGTGGTTGAATCTGATGATTAAAAGAGAATTCAAAGAGAACTTGATCAACACTTGGTGAAGGACTTTGAGATTTTGATTTTGAGATCATTAGATCCTAAACATCAAGCCGGACCTTCTTTCTGAGCCTGCACGTGATGTTAACATGTAAACACGTACAACCACATTTCCAAAAAAAATGGAACGCTGTGCAAAATGTAAATAAAAACTAAATGCAATGATGTGCAAATCATTTAAACCCTACATTTATTTGATTTATGAAATAGTAGAAAGACATATCCAATGTCAAAACTGAGAAATTTTATTGTTTTTTTGAAAAATATTTGCCCATTTTGAATTTGACACCAACAGCACGTTCCAAAAAAGTTGGGACGGCGGCAACAAAAGGCTGGTAAAGTTATGTATTGCTAAAAAAAAACACCTGGTGGTTGATTGGCAACAGGTCAGTAACATGATTGGGTATAAAAGAGTATCTCAGAGAGGCGGAGTCTTTCAGAAGTAAAGATGAGGAGGGGTTCACCACTCTGTGAAAGACTGCACCATCAAATAGTGCAACAATTCAGGAATAATGTTTCTCAGCGTAAAATAGCAAAGAACTTTTGCTTTTCATCACCTACGGTACATAATATCATTAAAAGATTCAGAGAATCTGGAGAAATCTCTGTATGTAAGGGACGAGGCCAAAAAACAGTATATGCTGGCCGTGATCTTTGGGCCCTCAGGCAGCACTGCATTAAACACAGACATGATTCTGTAGTGGAAATCGCTGCATGGGCTCAGAAACACTTCTGAAAACCACTGTCTGTGAAAACGGTTTGTCGCTGCATCCACAAGTGCAAGTTAAGAAGAAACCATGCCACCTTCTCTGGGCTCGAGCTCATTTAAAATGGACTGAGGGGAAGTGGAAAAGTGTCCTGTGGTCCGACCAATCAACATTTGAAATTCTTTTTGGAAATCATGGACACTGTGTCCTCCGGGCTAAAGACCATCAGGCTTGTTATCAGCGCACAGTTCAAAAGCCAGTATTCATGATGGTATAGGGGGGCATTAGTGCACATGGCATGGGTGATGTGCACATCTGTGAAGGCACCATTAATGCTGAATGATATATACATGTTTTAGCAACATATGTTGCCATCCAGATGACATCGTTTCAGGGAAGGCCTTGATTATTTCAGCAAAACAATATAAAACCACATTTTGCATGTATTATAGCAGCATGGCACTATAGTAAAAAAAAGTTATGGTGCTAAACTGGCCTGTCTGCAGTCCAGGCCTGTCACCACTAAAAATATTTTAATGCACTTTACAAAACGAGAAGTACGACAAAGGAGACCCCGAACTGTTTTGCAGCTGAAATCCTGTATCAAACAAGAACAGGAAAACATTTCACTTTCAAAACTACAGCAGTGTCTCCTCAGTTCCCAAACACTTACAGAGTGCTGTTAAAAGAAGAGGTGATACAACACAGAATGTGTTGTTGGCATCAAATTCAAAATGGGCATATATTTTTCAAAAAACAATCAAATTTCTCTGTTTTAGCATTTGACATGTTGTCTTAGTACAATTTTCATTTTTAAATAATTTGCATATCATTGCATTTTGTTTTCATTTACATTTTGCACAGCGTCCCAACTTTTTTGGAAATGGGGATGTACATCCTCAGATCTTGGTTGAAAACAGTGTTTTTCCAGTTGGGCTTGGCAAACATTTTCTTTATGCGTAATGAATTTATTTACATGACCTTCAAAAATACAGGGTGATTCAAAAAGATTCATCCAATTTCAAAATGACTTATTTCCCTTGTAAATCATTACAGATCAATGCAGAAAACTGTAAATGGTTTAAATGAGCATAAAGTTTATTTACTAGTTTATGTAGTTTTACTAGTGCTCAGTATGAACCTCCTCCAGCTGTACGGACAACATCAATGCCATAGTCAAATTCATCCCATACTGGATTGAGCATGTCGGGTGTCGCTGCACTCTCGGCTCTTTCAGTGTGATTTCAGAGATCATCCAGTGTTGTGGAACCAACGACGAACACTCTGAGCTGTTGGAGCTTCACTGCAGAAGGAAATCACTGCACAGTTATGACAGATTCACTCTTATTGAAGTGGAGAACGCAGAACGCTTTCTGCTCAGGGGTCTCATCTCCTCTCAGACTGAAGGGATCTTCCACTGACAGTCAGAAACTCTATGACCCCCTCTTTCAATTGGATTGTGATTGGTTCCAAGGTGCCTCACGGTTGGAAAAATATGCCGCTTTGAAATCGGATGAATCATTTTGAATCACCCTGTATATTACTGAATTTGGATTTGTTTTGTTTATTATTGCTCTTATCTAGATGAAAGGATCTTTGGGTGGTAAAAGAAATAGACTGTGAAAGTCACTGATGAACCTAGCAAGTAAAGCACATTGTATTAAAGCATGTTACTGATTCTAAGAATACTATTTTTACTTTTATTCAATATTTCACAAATTGTGCTGCCAAGATAGACTCAGAAAATAATATTGTCATAAATGAGCATAATAAAAATCATTATTAATATTATGTCCAGGTCTGCATCCTAGTAATGCCAATGTCTGATGAAGCTGTGTAGGGCAGTGATCCCGTTGCAATTTAATTATATTTCAAATATTTTTGTTTATTTAAACTCTGTAGGACAATAACTTGCCATTAACTGAATGTTGTCCACATTCGCCTTGCGTTGTTTTTCACATTGAGTTTTGATTTTTAATTTTTTTTTTTCTCCACTGTTGCAGAGATGAACATTGTCCCCTTGCAAGTCTTCTCCTGCGCCTGACGTTCTACACACTTTACATTGCATCAGAAGATTTCCAACAACACTTCCGAAAACAAGTCAGGCTGTTGAAATCAGGAGAAGTCCACTGTGAAAATATGGCATCCAGAACAGCCTCTAGTACAAAGAAAACATCCTCTGGTACTCTGCACACCAGAACATTTTGCAGAGAAACACAAAAACATAAAAGCAAGGAGAAAAGTCACCACTGCTCAGAGTGTGGAAAGAGTTTTACTGAACTGCGTGGTCTCAAAACACACCAGCGCATTCACACAGGAGAGCTTTATAGTTGCTCAGTGTGTGGAAAGAAATTTAATCGACTTGGCCATCTCCAAAGACACCAGCGCATTCACACAGGAGAGAAACCGCATCACTGCTCTGAGTGTGGGAAGAGTTTTACTCTACAGAGTCATCTCCAAACACACCAGCGCATTCACACAGGAGAGAAACTTTATAGTTGCTCAGAGTGTGGAAAGAGTTTTAATCAACAAGTTTATCTCAAAATTCATCAACGTATTCACACAGGAGAGAAACCATATCACTGCTCTGAGTGTGAAAAGAGTTTTACTCAGCCGTCTTCTCTCCAAATACACCGACGTATTCATACAGGAGAGAAACCATATCACTGCTCTGAGTGTGGAAAGAGTTTTACTCAGTCGTCTTCTCTCCAAATACACCGACGTATTCATACAGGAGAGAAACCGTATTACTGCTCAAACTGTGGGAAGACTTTTATTCGGTTAGATCATCTCCAAACACACGAACGCATTCACACAGGAGAGAGACCGTATCACTGCTTCAAGTGTGAGAAGAATTTTACTTCAGGGAGTCATCTTCGAAGACACCAACGCATTCACACAGGAGAGAAACCATACGAATGCTCAGACTGTGGAAAGATGTTTACTGTACAGCGTTACCTTCAATCACACAAGCGCATTCACACCGGAGAGAAACCGTATTACTGCTCAGAGTGTGGAAAGAGGTTTATGCACCAGAGTTATCTCCAAGTACACTGGCGCATTCACACTGGAGAGAAACCGTATTATTGCTCAGAGTGCAAGACAAAGTTTAGACATTCAAGATCTTTAAAGATTCATAAGTGCCCTAAGAGGGAAGTGGCCACTTAAGACTCAAGTGAGTTTACTGAATCAACAACCATGATTTAAGTAGCAGTTTTTGGGGTGTATATGAATGGTCTAGCCTGCATTCGTGTGATTAGTTCATTTCTAATGATTGTGCACTTCATTTCTCTTGAATGATTTGTATACCTATAATCATTCATTATTAGTTCTATGTTGATTTTGCATATGTGCTGGTAAGAGTTGTCATTCTTGTTTCTGAAGCTGAAATTCAGTCATAGCCCCAAATGTTTTGAGACTGCCCTGCCTAGCCTCCAAAATGGGCAGAGGAAACCAGGACGACATGCCCCCATCCAGCAGTTGTCCTTCTGTCCACGCTGCCTGACTTGTGGTGGATGCAGGGGTCTCCTGCAATATGGTTGCTCCCTCCCCCTCCAACCCTGTCTTGAACTGTCCCTCCCATCAGTATTGAGATGGTGCCTGCATTGCACACTGAGCTCCACGTAGTACTGACAACACGGCACCTCACACTACAGTGCTCCCGACAGCACCATAGAGCCAGCGCTCAACCCTATAATGCTGAATGTGGCAATGCTGCCACCTTCGACTCCAGGGCTGTACCTAAGGCAGAGAGACAAGTGTCACTTGAGTCCCATTTCTGTGCCGTGGACTCTGATTAGGAATGGCTGAGAAGAATCAGGAGGAGCCAGAGTACTTGAACTTTGACCTAGAAATCAATCAAAATCCAACAAATCTAAGTATTTACGGAAGTATAAGTTATTTAAACACTCTGTGTAATCGAGATGAAAGGAGGCTTCCACAGTGAGGAAACGCACATGCACCCTACCTTAAAGTCTTTTTTATTGCAGCATGTGACGTATGTCTTTGGGGTTTTTTTTTTTATCTCTGCTGTGATTTTTTTTTTGAATGACTGCACTTAATATTAGGATTCTGTAAAAGATAAATGAATGAATGTTAATTAAATGTAGGTAAGATAATGTTTTATCATCAGTTTTTTTTAAATATTTTTAAAAGTTTATTTTCTAAAATAAAAGTCTCTGTGCATTTTTAAAATCTGTTTGAGGAGTTTAAAAACTTGTTTGAGCTTGTATGAAGGACAATAATCTGGGTGGTCCGAGGGTGGACGGGCAGTGGCAAACAGTCAGCGGGGTGCCGATCAATGTATGCTCGCTATCTGGGTTGTATCAGTGTGGTTCCCCTGCAGTCCAGGTGGGGGCGCTAATTGTCTGAGTGATCTTCTCCAACCCCAGTAAAGCGGAGAAGCAGGAGCTCCGCTCTGGTCAGCAGTCCACGCCTCCGCGCTGCTACAGTGTTGCTGGAGGAGACGAACAGGAGCTGCTCTCATCGAGGTACAACTCAGTTTAACAGCTCTACATTGGCTTTTACTGCACCAGCTCACTAAGCGTTAGTGTGTGTATTTATATTTATATATATATATATATATATATATATATATATATATATATATATATATATATATATATATAATAACATTTTGTTACATGTAACCAAAAATATGTTAATTTATTCTTATTAGTGGTGGTAATAATTAATGTTTTTATCTAGTGGACATTTAGTGGATTAGTGCTGTTTTGCCCTCGAGCAGACTTCACTCCAGTCTCACACCCTAAATTAAGAGGGTCAGACTGATGGATCAAGAAAGTGTTGTATGTCGTTCTATATGGTTCTATATAGATTATATAGTATTGTTACAATGTCAAGCTTGTAACAAAAGAAGAACGCTTATTGGAGCTATATAGAACCATGTGCAGCACATTCAACCATTTCACCATGCAAAGAACAACTTGGGCATGCAAAAGGTTGAGTGTTTATGGTTCCATACTAAATGAGTTCTTCACTGAAGAACACTTGAAGAACCATCTTTTTAAAGAGTGAGATCCTGAGTTCTTATTTTAAAATAGTGTTTTAATAGTTGGCAAACGCAAAGCTTGACCAAGGTTTTATATGATTTATATTACATGTACTCGGGAATCCCATTAATGGATTTATATTTGTTGAGGTATTAATGTTCTTATCTAGTGGAGATTCAGTGGAGAAGTGTTGTTTTCCTTTGAGCAGACCTGGCCAAGTTATTCTGTGTGTAACATTATCAATTCAAGTTTTTGGGTATCATGCAATACTGTACAGAAAAATCCTTTAGCATTCTTTTTTCTGGTCTACTACCACATTTTCTGCACAAGAAGCAGACGCAAGCACAGTGTGAAGAAATGGATAAAGGATAGTAAATGCTTCTAGTTATACTCCCTTCAAACTGGTAAAGTTTGGTTGGGGGTTGTTGGTCAATGGCTGTAAGACTAAGAGGTAGTAGTTGCAGCAGTTCTTTACGGTGAGTGATGGATGATTTTAGTATAGTGGAGGGTAGTGGGTGAGGATTTGTTCAGGAATTTAATGGTGGTCTTTGATGTTTCACGTTACAGAAAACATTAGTGGATTCCATACAAATGCACTTATGTCATGGATTTTCTTGAACAAAAATCAAGTGAAAACTTATATTAAATTAATGTGGCCTTGCATAGTCCCCGTTGCTCTACTCTAAGTACTTTTAAGTTAGGAATTTTTAAAGTTTGAACCTTTTCATCACTTTTGTGATTCTCTGGATGTGCACTCACCAATTGCTTATTTTTTTTTTGCTGGATTGGTTGGTGGCTCGCTTATCCTACCACTAGGCTACTGGCCTCACTTTCTTGCAACCAGACTTTAAGTCTTTGTAATATTAATATAGTTTTTATCCCATCTAAACGTTTTTTGGTCCTGCTTTAAAAAATGACTGCCACAGGTCTTGCTAAATATAGCTTCAGACCCACTTTAAGATATTTTGACAGTATATTTTCCCATAAAGGATTATTTGAATTTGCTTGAAACTTCTTTTTTATTGGAAAGTGTGGCGTATCTTGAGGTCTTAATCTGAGGTATCATGGTCTTAATTCCACGAGACACTGACAAAGACACATGACAATCCCTGTGAAATTCAGCAATCTGTTCATTTACGTCAGTATGCATAACAAGAAAGCCAGCAGTGAATACTCACATATTTAAGCTTAAATACAGAGAGAAGCTTCTAACAACCATTTAGACAGCATTTTTTTCACGTTGTGTATGGTATTTTATAGTCACAATGTCATTATGATTCCATGACAGTGTCATCTGATTCTGGTTCTGGTTCTTTTCATTTTTCACAAATCCCTTTGTTGTTTCATGTTGAAGTGCAGACTGGATGGTGTATTAGTACACTGTAAAACCTAATGAGTTAAGTCAACTCAAATGATTAGAGGAAACTGATTACCTCAAATGGTTTAAGTTCAATGACTCACTTACACTAAAGTAAATTGAGTAAATTGTACTAATTCCATTTGATTTGTTGATATTAAAATGATTGAGTATTGAACTTATGTTTATGCTGTTCTAACTCAAAATAATTAACTAATTTTAAATTAAATTCAGGCTACCATTTTGACAAATTCTTATTGTACTGCACAGATGTGATCATAGGCATTTGTAAAAATGTCTTGTCCACCGTAACGTCATTCCAGACATTGATAGTATAGTCCAGATGTAGTCCCTGTAGCACTAAGCCACAGTAAAGTTCCAGTCAGCAGAGAAAAACTTAGTAACTCAGCTCCCTCCACACTGATTTTTAATCAATACTGATTGGAAGGAACCATAATATTTTATAAAGCTAGTTGACACAGGGGAAAGTAGGCTGGAGAGAATGACAAAACACAGACGGTGAAGAGACACACCCAATATGTAAATAAATGGTACTAAGAGCCAATAGGAATGATGTGAGTTTTACTCAAGAAGATTGCATTGACCAAACATTTATCAAGTAAAGCTGAGAAGCCTAAACTAAATTGCAATATGTTTATTCAACTCAAAGATCCTGTTTGATGGGATCTTCGAGTCTGAAATCATCAAAATAAAGTTATGAAAAAAGCACGAATCCAAATCCAAATCATTTAAATGTAAACATTTATGCTGTCTATCACATTAAGCAACACTAAATTTTCAACTGTCTTTAAAAACAACCTATTATTTGCCTGTATGTATTTGCATGTAAGGTCAAGTTAAATAAAAATAGTGAATGTAATACCTTTAAATAAAGTTACCTCAACTCAAAATATGCTGAAAAAAACAATCTTACTCAAAATGACTGAGTTACTATCTCAACAATTCATTTTTGAGTTAATTTGATTTTTTTAGATTAAATTACTCCAAATTTCTGTAGTATTTACGTTGTATTAACTTAATTCTTTCATTAAGATGTGGAGTGAGTTTTACAGTGTAGGATAAACAGTTACAGTAGTACATAAAGACAGTGTATGGTTGTACAAGTAAACAAGAATAACTGTTTTTGGTTCTGTTTCTCCAAAATAAGAAACATATTTCACCAACTGTACTACACAATATTCTAGTCAAATGCTGCCCACATTACTACATCCTAAAAAGCACAATATTATAACTATAACAGGTTAGACATGCCATCACATTATGACTCACATATCCTCTGAAACTAACTGAATGTTTTTTTCTTTTTTCTCCTGCAGAAATGCGTGCTGTCATGTTTTATGTACACAATCTATCAGGAGATTTCCAAAAGTAATATGCCAAACTGGTAAAATCATGTAAAATGAAACGTGAGAACATGGCATCCAGGAAACGCTCCTCTATTATTCACCATGGTAACATATCAAGACAAAAAAAGAAAAATAGAAGCAAGGAGAGAGCACACCACTGCCTAGACTGTGGGAAGAGTTTTACTCAGCAGAGTATTCTTAAAGAGCATCAGCGCATTCACACTGGAGAGAAACCGTATGAGTGCTCAATATGCAAGAAGAGTTTTACTCAGCGGAGTCATCTCAAAGCGCACCAGCGCATCCACACAGGGGAGAAACCTTATCAGTGCTTAGTGTGCGGGAAGAGTTTTTCTCGACAGAGTCATCTCCAAAGACATCAGCACATTCACACAGGAAAGGAACGTTATCCCTACTCAGAGTGTGAGAAACGTTTTAATCTCCAGAGTCACATTCACACAGGAAAGAAACTGGATTACTGCACAGAATGTGGAAAGACGTTTAGTCAACAGCGTTATCTGAAAATACATCAGCGCATTCACACGGGAGAGAAGCCGTATCAGTGCCCAGAGTGTGGGAAGAGCTTTATTCGACAAGGTGCCCTACGACAACACCAGCGCATTCACACGGGAGAGAAACCGTATCAGTGTCTAGTATGCGCAAAGAGTTTTACTGTACAGAATCATCTCCGAAGACACCAGAACATTCACACAGGAGAGAAACCGTATCACTGCTTGGAGTGTGGAAAGGGTTTTACTTTACAGTGTCATCTCAAAGAACACCAGCGCATTCACTCAGGAGAGAAACCACATCAGTGCTTCGTATGTGGGAAGAGCTTTAAGAGACAGAGTAATCTCCAGGTACACCAGCTTGTTCACACAGGAGAGAAACCGTATCACTGCTCAGTGTGTGGGAAGAGTTTTGCTCTGCACAACAGTGTCAAAGTACACCAGCGCATCCACACAGGAGAGAAGCCATATTACTGCTCAGAGTGCAGGAAGAGCTTCAGACATTTGAGGTCATTAAAGATTCATAGGTGCCCTACGAGAGAGGTGACAGTTCAAGAAACATGATTTCATAAGCAGTTTTAGGTTTGAATCAATGATGTGGCCTGTATTTATGTGATTAATTAGCTTCTAATTTAGATATTTTAGTGTTGTGTAAAAAAGGCCCTGGTGGTCTTCCTTTTGAATTATTTGTATATCTATATTGCTAATTATTAGGTATGTATTATGTACAAAATCAGCCATCTGTTTGAAGGTAAACACTTGTGCAGATCTGTTTAATGCCCAACTGTTTGTATAGACATAAAAGTAGTGACCTGTTCAGTTACAATCATAAAGCCAGGCTTGCAGACAGGGCCTCAGCAACGACTTCCTGTATTTTGAGGTATTTAATAATTGGGCTGATTTTTGAGGCTGATCTGCTTCTCCTGGCAATTGCATCTGTGATGGACTGGCGACCTGTCCAGGGTGTATCCTGCCTTCCGCAGATGACAGCTGGGATAGGCTCCAGCTCCCCCTGCGACCCAGAAGGAGATGTGTGTGTTTGCAATTACCAGGAGAGGCAAATCAGCCTCAAAAATCAGTCCAGTTATCCTGTAGTGTGTGTTGGGTGCTATGTTCTGTACTAATAAAGGAAACAACAAAGGTAAAAACAGATAATGTGTCTTCTTTATTTTCAGCTCAGTGGGCATGTAGCTGCAGACTGCATGCTGTGTAACTTTGTATCATATAATATGCAGATCATGTCACATCCCTCTTGCGAAGGACAGTGTTTACACAACTGTACAGTAAACAATCTGTAGCATTTCTGATTATTATGAAATTAAACTCTTTCACAAAATATACAGATTTGTGACCCAACACCACAACTTGTTTCAATTAGCAATCATTTTATTCTTTAATCTTATGTATGGAGTTTCCACATTTTATATCCTTCGATTGTTTCTCTGAATTATTAACATTTTATATTTGCTCTATAAGCCTTTAAGGTGTTTTAATGTTTCTGTTAGAGCTCCTGACTTCCATTTGTGTCTCTGTATGGCCGTTACTTTCAGTTACAGGTGTCTTGTATACAGGGCTGTCTAAACTGGGTTTGTTTCCTCTGCCCTGTTCTGTTCCTTTTCCTTTTCAGGTACTTCCAGCAAGAGTCTACGATTTCTCCTGTAAGTCATTCCCTCTTGAGTTTGAACCACACTGGACCTCGACCTACATTCTGTAGTACATGAGCCTCTAGACTACAATGTATTCCAATGTTATTGTTATCAATCAACATTACTCCTTTATTTGGTTTTAGTTCCTTTTGTTATTTTAACCCTCTGTTATGGTACCTTTTCGGTGCATGTTTGGCCTTTCGTTTGTCCACAGCTATGTTCTATCACTTCTCTTTTAAGCAGCTGTGGCATGTGGGTCCTTAGCTTTCCATTTAACAGAAGCTCTACCTGTGAAAGGAAAGGGAAGTAGACCTGTAGTTAAGCAGTGCTAAGCAAGGATCAGTTTTGAATCAGTCACTTTCTTCTTCAGCAATTTCACTGTTTTCACTCCATTTTCAATGAGACAGTAAGACTGCAAAAACTGTGAATTTGATGTCACATGTCTAAAGTCTTAGCAAAATTATGCAACTTCTCACACCTGAACTGAGGTACATTATCAGTCAGCCCTATGCCAGGGATACCATGACATGCAACATGTAACATCTTTACATTCTGGAAAAAGAACCACAGAGTTTATCCAATCAGAAAACACACAATTGCCTAATTTGCTCTCACAAAATGGAAATTAGACAAAGAATTTCTGAATGTGTTCAAATTCTGTGGATCAATTAGGAGAGTAATCCCAATTACAATCACAGATTGATTTACACAGCCACGCTATATTTGAGTACAGTGATGGCGATTTGTGTTGTTTGTTTTGAGTGTTGCAGTGTAGTGATGAATGTGGGATGTGCAAGTTTCAGCAGATCAAATCAGTGAACCAATCCGCAAATTATAACCAAAGTCTGAAGGGTCTAATCATAGAGAGACGGGCACATCCACCAACAAACAGGGCTGCCTAAAGTGAAAAATCTTCAGAGCTAAAGAGGCAGCAGGTTAATTGTTAATGAAGGGGCGGAACAGGGGGTGGTCCTGGGGGGCAGTCCCATGACCTACAGAGTAATTAGTTTTCATCATAAGATGTAAAAAAAAATTGGCTCTTCAATGCGAGTCGGCTCCCAACATTCAGAGAATTCTGTCAAAATGTCCTACGGTAGCACATGTTTATGGGTAGGTAAGATATTTTGATAGCCTAAATTACCTCATCAAAAAAAAAAAACCTTAAATGGTGCAGCAGTTATTATAATGCCTCAGGTGCCAGAATTTAATGTTGAATCATTTAAGATGTAACGGGAAAATTCTAATAAAAAGCTGATGAATGTGCTTATCAGAAAAATATCATCAGCATTAAAAGAATGATGAGGATATTTCGAGAGCCTGAATCAGTTTAACAGGGGGTAAGTGCTAATATTAGTCTGTACTGAATTAACATTAAACACACAAAATGTTTATAAAGTCCTTTTTGATTTTTATGTTTTTTGTATTTTTAAAATAATGCCATATTCCTTAATCTCATGGAGGAAATGTGTAAAATTCAGACCACCTCTTCTTGTGTAAATTGTATTTACCCATAATAATTAAGAAGAAAGAAAGAAAGAAGAAATAAAAAGAAATACTTTAACAAAATAAAACAAATATTAAAAGAAATACTTACAACATACAGCCTTGTCACCAGAAGGTCGCCGGCTTGATCCCCTGAGCCGACAGTATGTGACTGAAGTGCCCTTGAGCAAGGCACCTAACCCCCAACTGCTCCCCGGGCGCTGTGGATAGGGCTGCCCACCGCTCTGGGCAAGTGTGCTCACTGCCCCCTAGTGTGTGTGTTCACTAGTGTGTATGTAGTGTTTCACTGCACAGATGTGTTAAGCGCAGAGGTGAATTTCCCTGTTGTGTCACATAAGGGTCACTTAAACTTTCCTAATCCGTCCATAGAAAAGTAAATAATAACATCTGAAATATCCAGTGTGATGCAGTGTCCAGTCTTTCCTCTTACCGAATTTTCCACATCAGTCCAGAACACTTCAGTATAAGTACACTGGTAAAACAGATGGAACAGATGGAACAGATGGATACCGGCTCTCTGAACCTATTCATTCGCAGACGGCACATCAGTACTATCCACGCTCCACTCCAGTAGGTGGCGGTAATACACTCTTTCAGTTGGATGTTAACCGCCTCGCCACTGAGAAGAAGAACAAGGCAGGAGCTCCGCTCTGGTCAGCAGTCCACGCCTCCGCGCTGCTACAGTGTTGTTGGAGGAGCCGAACAGGAGCTGCTCTCATCGAGGTACAACTCAGTTTAACAGCTCTACATTGGCTTTTACTGCACCAGCTCACTAACGCTGGGAGAGATGTTCACTTTCTGAACAGCAGGGTGAAAATATGGAGACCAGCTCAGGAGCAGCTTTAATCCAGACTTCACTGAACAGGAGAACTTACAGATACATTAGCAGAGCTTGGTTGAAAACAATGTTTTCCTAGTTTAGTTTAACGAAAGCACAGCGTTTGTTTGGCCTTTAAATTTGATTCACAGCCCCGCTGGAAAAAAGACGATTAGAAACTGTTGAGATTAAACCCCAGTGGTTTTGCTTTCAGTAGAGACCACTAGTTTCCTGTAGAACACCTTTAACCATCAAATGCATTCAGAATCAGCCACTGGTCACCTGTTAAACCATTACACTGTGATATCAACCCATCAGGAACCAAAAGAAACATTTAATAGTTTCTGTGGGTTTTTCAGCAGGGATGACCTGTACTCAAAAACCCCATTAGTGGATTCACATTTGTTGTGTTAAGTAAAGTTCTTATCTGGTGGAGATTCAGTGGAGAGTGGAGAAGCGAGCAGACCTAACAGAGCTGATCTCAAAGGCTTTTACTGTTTGAGTGTAACGTTATCAGTTCAACATCTTTGGTTTTATGTTATACTGGAATTATTTCTTTCTCTGCTCCGCTGTCACTTTTAACACACAAGGAGCAGACGTTATAAAGCAGTATGAAACCAGTGCACTACAGATATAGTAGATGTGCAGGCACCGTGTTAATATACAGACAGATACACTCATATGTTTCAGAATGCATATAAAATGTGCAGTTATCTGTTGAAATACCAGCTGTTTCTACAGCTCCTTTCTGAGAGCTGGTGTTGTGTGCTGGTCAAGTTTTAGGAGTTGTAGAAGTTCTCTGTGGTGGGTTGCTGAGGGATTTTAAGAGTTGTCGATGGCGGCTAACGGGAAACGTTCAGGAGTTTGATGGCCTGGTGGTATAAACTGTGCTGGGAGTTGGTTAATAGAAGGCAGTGAGTATGGATGAGCATTAGTGCCAAATTGAAAAGCAGTCAATATGGTGGAAAAGCGTAAAATGCAATACACACATGACAGTAGTGTTCCATTGTGTGTTGCAAAATTCATGCCAAACTGAAAAACAAACTGTTTTCATGTCGCTTCACTTCTTCTAAATCTGTGATTTATGTTGGCCGGAAGAAAGGATGGGAGAGGTGGCATGTTTGTGTTAACTAGTCTGTTTGGAAAGTGAACAAGAGAACACGGGCAGAGAGGAAGTCACTACAGAGACACTGCTGTAGTGTTGCTTTTTGCATTTCTCTCTCATTCATGATCTGGAGCATGTTTAGATCTTCCTCACAGAGCTTGTTTTAAGGCTACAGCGCATGGACGTCTCAAATTCAGTCAAGTTTGTTCCTCACAGCAGACAGAAAGATCATGTACAAGGACTCTTTTGTAGAAGTCATGTAGAAGTTTCTCACTTCATATATTATGAGCCTGAGGACGGATCTGGCATCACTGTTGCAACAGTCCCTCAAAACAGAACCGCTGAACTGGATTTATAATTGAAATTTTATTTTTGCCTATTTAATTGATTTAAAAAAATCTGAGTAAATTAGCTTCACGTTGTCTGCCTTAGGTGTGATGCATTAGGTAAAGGGTCAAAGGGGGGTGCTATTCACATTTGAGCTCATTCCTAGCCCATCATCCTCTACGCAGCCGGTCTTTCCTTACTCTTCCTCCGTATCCATCTTATTTTCCACGTGACTACTGTGTTTGGCGAATATGGCTGAGGGTCAAAGAAAGTGTGCTTACTTTTTAAGTTATGGTTTTATCTAATTAAACGTCTCGAGGTGTTTCTGGGACAGTGTGCAGTTTGCAGCTGACAGTACAGCTGAGTGAAGATGAAATAACGGCCAGATCAGCAACACTACATGCTTAAACAGCATAGAGCTTCAGCAGACACGAGACTGTGGCTTCATAATGAATCATGAGCCCAGTTTTTACCTTTGAAATCTGTGTCCATTAAATGCAACCAAATGATCAACTACTAGTAACAGACTCGCTTTAACTGGTTTACACCTTATATTCTCTTTATAACTGGATTCTACCCTCGCTAGCAGGATGGACAGGTATCAGACAGCTAGCTGGCAAACAAGCTAACAGACTTCAAGTTTAAGCCTTTAAATAAAGCGGAATCATGTCTTCCGAAACACGACATAGTTTTCTGACCCGAGTCTGATATTTACCGTTTATGTTTCTCCATTTGAACGTCATTTAAATCTCCAGAAACAGAGAGTAAAGTTATACCGGCTGTCTGCAGCTCCGTTAGGGCGACGACTATTTATCTCTCGGCTGATAACATTAGCTAAAGTTATCTAAAGGCCAGCACTGTTCACATCTGTGTCGGTGGGCTTCTGTGCTTTTAAATGCTGTGAGAGACTCTCCAGAATAGGGAGAGGGGCTGAGTATGAGACAAATATAAATGTCAGGAAACCACAAATTTGGTAGCTTTTCTGCCAGTTTAAGTGGGATCAGGAGTTCAGGGGGAAACTGTATAAGGATCACAGTCTGTTTTATCAACTCTGTCGAGGAAACATTTTTCTCATTTTCGTCTTTCATCTCTAGTTATGTTCGTGCAGAGCATCGAAGTCGGCCACCACACAAAAATCTAATGCTAATATAGATAAATGATAATAAATGAATTAATCTCACATTGTCTGTATTATGTACAGTCCACGATAACGTTTACATATTTTTGAATGAATATTTTTCTTGTTTTCCTCTAGAAATTAATGACATCCTGCTGCGAGTCTTCGGCTGCCCCAAATGTCCACTTTCCTACATCCACTAGCTCCACAAGCTCATCAGGAGATTCTATCACAAGGAATATGTTAGACTGGTGAAACTAGACAAAATTAAATGTGAGAATATGGCGTCCAGAAGAATCTCCAGTATGAAGAAGACCTCCGCTGGTTCTCTCCACACTAGAACACCCCACAGACAGATCCAGAAACATGCAGAGAAGGAGAGAACACACCACTGCCTGGAGTGTGGGAAGAGTTTTACCCAGCAGGGCCACCTTAGAGAACATCAGCGCATTCACACTGGAGAGAAGCCGTATCAGTGCTCAGTGTGTGGGAAGAGCTTCACTCAGCAGAGTCATCTGAAGGGGCACCAGCACATTCACACGGGAGACAAACCGTATCGCTGCTCAATGTGCACGAAAAGCTTTACTCGCCACAATTATTTACTCATACACCAGCGCATGCACACGGGAGAGAAGCCGTATCAGTGCTCAGAGTGTGGGAAGAGTTTTATTCGACTGAGTTACTTACAGACACACCAGCTCAACCACACAGGAGAGATGCCCTATCAGTGTTCAGACTGCGGAAAAGGTTTCAGTGAAAAGAGCAATCTTAAAAAACACCTCCTCATCCACACAGGAGAGAAGCCGTACTGCTGCTCAGAGTGTGGGAACAGGTTTCGATACGGAGACACTCTCCGAAAACACCAACGCATCCACACAGGAGAGAAGCCCTTTCAGTGCCCTGACTGTGGGAAGAGGTTTACTCAAAGGAGTCACTTGAGAACCCACCAGCACATCCACACCGCAGAGAAGCCGTATCAGTGCTCAGACTGTGGGAAGATCTTCACCGTGAAGAGTTACCTCCAGCAACACCAGCGCATCCACTCCGGAGAGAAACCGCATCACTGCTCGGACTGCGGGAAGAGCTTCACTCTGAAGAGTCAGCTCCAAAGACACCAGCGCATCCACACCGGAGAGAAACCCTATTACTGCTCAGACTGTGGGCGGAGCTTCCGGCATTTGATTACTTTACAGCGTCACAAGTGCGTTATGAAGGAGGAGGAAACGCATTGATTTACACATTCAAGAATACGCAATATTCAATAACACATTCATTTGATGAATATTTATCTCCAAAGTGGAAACTTTACAGGAGACAGAAAAAACATACTTTACTTTTAATTAAGTTAATGTAATCATACATTTTCCAAGTAATTTTGGGCTGTTTCTTTTGGTCTGCATGAAATGTACGCACAAATCTGGGATTTTTAAATAAACATTCATCTTTTAGAATTCCAAAAACTTTCAAAATAAGAAAATTTATGACATACAGCAAAGAAGAAAAGCTGAAGATTCTGCATTGTTTCTAGGCCTCTATTTAAATGTAAGCACATTTATGACATCGACTATGTTGGGACTTTCGGATGAAAAGGTCAGATTTTTTTTGTACCAAATACTGAAAAATTCTGAAATTCACATTAAAATTTCAAAGATTCTACGTTTTATGTAAATTATTATGCTGATAATTTGTAATGACAAAAAATGCTGCACTAAATTACAAATGAATGCAAAATAGAAGCATTTTTTCTTGTGGTCTCAGACGTTTGGACTGTATCTGCTAAGGCCAGTCCATAAACATTTACAAAACATTGAAACTGGAACTAAATCTACCTGGAATTAGCACTGTGTATCATTCATTTTATAGGGACAAAAAAGAAGTAAAACAAATAAAATGCAGGTATTTTAGCACAGTAGCCCAGCGGAGTTCAATATATACAGCATATACAGCATATTGGTTTAAAATGTTGGACAAATCTACACAACTGACTGATGACTGTTTTTATTTTAAAGAAGATATCTTCCAATACAGATATCATGGAGTGCTTTTACCTGCACTTAATAATCTGATAATTGCAGAAAATCAGATTATGTCAGTAACTGGTTCAGTGTGTTTTAATGCTCTTGAGTAATCAGATAATGGGGAAACTCCAGATTTCTGCTTTACAACCAGTAAATTCACAGAAGAAGAAGTGACTTGACATAATGTAAACTCAAAGATCATGAGCGGCTTTTTTTTTTTTTAAACATCGCGCTACTTTACCTGAAAATATGAACATGCATCATCTAGAAGATGAAGAATATTTAAATTCTTCATTTCGCCAAGCATGTATTTGGTTTCAGTGTTGCTCCAAAAGTGCTGTGCTGTTTCTCGTGGCGACGCTGCTCGCTTATTATTATTATAGTCTGTTTTCACAAATGCTCAGACTGAGAAATCTGAAAGAAATCAGAGTAAGAGTTTACAGCACTGAGAAATCAGCCTCTTTATCTTAATCAGATTTCTAGATCGGAGTGTGCTGTTCACATGACCATTTGAATAATCAGATAACTGCAGAATTCCGATTCTTGTGATCAGATTATTGAGTGCATGTAAACTTCTTTAATCAGTTGGTCTTCAAATAGTTTGAACTGTATGTATGTGGTTTAAACCGCTTCAGATAAAAAAAGACTGTTAAGAGATCCTGATATTCTTTCTCTTGAATGATAATTATGCCTGTATTACTGTGTGATTGTTATGTCTTGGATAATTTTAAATTAATTATGTATATTTGTAAGCATTTTCAAAATGTCAGCAATTTGTTTTGATCAAGTGAATTCTGGACTTATCAGTTCAGAGTCACTGAAGCCCAGTTTCTGTTTTGCGTGGTTGATGTGATTTCTGTTTGCAGTGAAAAATATAAATATGATCTTTACTGTATCAGGCAGAGGTACAGTATAGGTATCACTATTTAAAAGTTATTAGTTTATACATACAATGAAAGTGTTCACTTTTTAAATCTTTTGAATGCAAGTCTTCATGGTCACATTCTCACATCCTTTTAATTAACATGGACTCATGGATTGGGCAATTTGGACACTCATTTATTCATGAGGATCCTGGACGTCATTACAAGAGCACGGCATCTGAACAGAAGACATGTTCAAATTTTTATTAAAATATTGGTATTTTCAAACACTGTTTAAAAATGGGACCAATTATTAATGCTTTGGTGTGACCCAGTTAAAATGTCAATATGCTTTTTACATTTACATCATTTAGCAGACGCTCTTATCCAGAGCGACTTTCAAAAAGTGCTTTGTCTATCCAGAGAAAGTATCTTTGCTAGTTACCAATAGGTTAGAGAGAAAGTCGGTCCTGAGCTCAGATACTGCTAGAATCAGAAAGTCATTATTGACACCTAGAGAAAAAGGAACAGAGTTAAACACAGAACAGTGCAATACAATACAATACATAAGTGCTGTACAATACATTACAATCAATACTTAACTCAGTGCTCATTTAAGTGCTGTATAAAGAGACGGTCTTCAGTCTGCGTTTGAAGACAGCGAGAGACTCTGCTGTTCGGACAGCCAGTGAGAGTTCGTTCCACCACCTGGGCTCCAGCACAGAGAACAGTCTAGATGCTTGCCTCCCGCACGCTTTGAAGGATGGCGGGTCAAGCCGAGCTGTGCTCAAAGCTCGAAGGGCTCGTGGTACAGTTCGAGATTTGACCATTGCCATCAAGTAGGGAGGGGCTGGTCCATTTTTGGCTTTGTAGGCAAGCATAATGTTTTTAAATCTGATGCGTGCAGCTACAGGAAGCCAGTGAAGGGTGCGCAGCAGTGGGGTGACGTGGCTGAACTTTGGGAGATTGAAGATGAGTCTTGCTGCTGCATTCTGGATGAGTTGCAGAGGCCTGATGGCCTGCATTGGAAGACCAGCCAAGAGCAAGTTGCAGTAGTCAAGCCTTGAGATGACAAGAGACTGCACTAGCACCTGGGTGGCCTCTCTCGAGAGAAAGGGTCGAATCCTCCGGATGTTGAACAGCAGAAATCTGTATGACCGAGTTAGGTTCGCAATGTGAGTTGAGAACAATAACTGGCCATCCAGAACCACACCAAGACTTCTTGCCTCTTCTGACGGGACAATCAGAGAGTTCTCGAATGAGATGGCAAGATCATGATGAGGACCTGTAGTTGCAGGGATGAACAGTAGCTCAGTCTTGCTGGGATTGAGCTTCAGGTTTTTACACATTTTTATTATTTAACCATAAAAACTGACAAAAATATTAAAGAATAACATTAATTCTGTTGTACTGCTAGACCAGAAATAAAGAATTTACTGGGAAATGTCCACTGGTGTCACAGCCATGTCTCAGTCCTGGTCCTGGAGGTCCACTGTGCTGCACCTTTCAGTGTTTTCCCTGCTCCCAACACACCTGATCAGCTCATCAGCTCATTAATGGCCCATTACTGAGTAGAAGTGGGGGTGTTGAAGCAGGAAAGGCACTCAGATGTGCAGGACAGTGGGCCACCAGGACCAGAGAATCAGGGGCTACTGGAACCAGGCAGAAGTGAACACTCAAGGTGGGTTTGATGTTTAAAAGAAAGATAGAAATAGAAAAGAACACAAACTCCATGGTTAAATTTAAGTACACTCTCACAAATAAAGGTGCTAAACTGTCACTGGGGCAGTTCCCTTCTCGTCACTGGGGTGGAACCCTCAAGGCTCCAACTCAGTACCGTTAGTGAGAGAACATAACTGTACCATAATCCACTGAAATGATATGTTCTAAGCTGTACTGACTCCACACACCCCGTCTCGTCTCCAGGCTTTTATTTTACTGTTCTGTTTTAAAACATTTGGTTATGAAAAGGTACGAATACGAACTTTTCACCTGGAAAAACTCTGAGGTACATTTACATTGTTGAACAAAAAATGTATCTGCACAGAACCTTTATTTCTAACAGTGTATGGGGTAAGATCTGGTATGGTACCTTGTAGTTCATGGAGTCTATGCAATCGTAAAAAAGCTTCGCAGGGTGTCTGGAGAAAAACCAAAGGCCCTGTGAACCTTACAATTATAGAATTAGATAATTCTAAAACATGTCAAGCATTATAGGAGAACACTCGTATTATGCATAAATGCAGGGGTGCCAGTAATTGTGACACATGGTTTGATAAAGTTTTGCTTTCTTACACTACATTTAATACTTATAAATGTTATGTTTGTCTCATATTTTCAGTGTGAGATAGAGCTAATTAACCACAAAGACAGTTTTTCCATTATCTCCTTTTATGTATCTTTAGAAAGGGTGCCTAAAATTATGGAGCTGAATATAGATTAATATTTTTTTATTTTAGTTTTATCATTATTTTATATAGGCAGATGTTCCACTGTAGTTGGCACCTGCAGTTTATTTTGCTGAGGTTTTATTTTGTCAGAACACAAAACAAGCTGTATTTGGTTTTGCAAGTGACTGGAAAAGTGAACTTGAATAAATTTAAATACTCAGCAGTAATATTTTGGAGCATTTGAAATGAACACAAGTGGTCTGTTAATAATAAAGGACTCTTACCAGATAAACCAGGTGAATGTTTACATATGAAATTCTATAAATAAAATTGTGTAGTAGGATTTTGTTGGAATGCACAGAAATATTCAGTTCTGTGAGTTTTAGATTTAAGGCATTAAAGCATTAGGTTGTTCCTAATGATATGTAAATTCTAATTAATTCTAATGGTTTTAATCATAGAAACGCTGTAAACAGAGATGAATTCATAGTTTGGAGGCTGTGAATATGAGAGTAACTGTCTCTGGAGGTTCACAGCTCAAACTACACTGTACTAACATTATTAACGAGAGACTCAGTACAGGTTCAGTGGAGAAAGTTCTAGAAATGTGTTCATCAGTGACCACATTAACCACCGAAGAATGAGAAATCAATCAACCTTCATCTCGACTCAGGAGTACATTGAGGGTGACCCACATTTACAATGTGGTCGATTTAAATAGGATTTAAAAAGTTAAAATTAAATTTAATCAATTGAAACAAATCAAGCAACCAAAAATGCACAGTATGTTTTCTCTGTCATTACTCTCAGGAGAACAAACTAACACGAACCCTGAGCCCCACACACTGAGGACTAACCATACAATCCCCTCTAATCTGTACATGAAGGCAGTGAACTTGAACTGAGCTTTAATGCATCAGAGAGAAAAGCTAACATTAGCTAACGCTAGCACATAGTGAAAATATACTGACTTTAGCTAATACGCCACAATCACCTCACACTGCAGTTAAATACAGAGACAGAAATAGGAATCTGCAGAAATAAAGACTGAAAGATCTAATACTTCTTACCTACCTCGAGCAGCACGCTTAGCGTTAGCTGTTAGCTAAGACCAGCAGGGCTGTGGGGTCATCTGTAGCGTCTGGATAGAAATTGAACAATAAAAGTCTTAGTTAACTTATAAACCACTGTCAAAGGAAGATTATGAGAAAAGCTGTTTGGAATCACAATCTGGGATGAATAAATGAGCTCCATTTGGTTTGGTTAGCTTAGCTTACCTCTGTGAGGTAGTGTTAGCCAAACAGCTAACGCCAGCTGGCAGAAGCTAACAGCTTCAATCACAGTAAGTTATATATAGCTACACAACTGTGCTAATGTTAGCTACTAAAGATCATCAGCAGACAGAAGAGCTGAACATTTCAAATCTCACTGAGGGAGTTTATTTTCAGAAATATACAGGTTTCAGACTCTTCTGACAGACTTCATTTAAAAGTAGTTAGCTAGCGTTAGCTAGCCTATGCTATTCAGCTAAATTACAGCTATAACTATACAGTCAAACTTATAAACACCCTTAAATTATGTTTCACAAATGTAAAAAATATGGTTGTTTTTAATATGTAGCTAAATATTGCTTACCTGTAAACCATTTAAACAACTTTTCTCTTGTCTTCTGTTTAAACAGAGTTGCTGGTAACCAGTTTAAACTGAATTTAGGTGGGAAAGGGGTGTGTGTGAGGGGGAGGGGCTCACAGCACCACATCTCATCACAATACATTCTGAATTAAAGGGCCTGTATCATGTAAATACTATCAAAGGGCTCATATCCAACATTTTTGTTGCATTTTATTTAAACATTTTGTGTATGTTTATGTGCCAAAAACAGTCCCATTGATTTTTTTTCATGACGATTTTCCAACTTGGCTTTATTTTAAACAGGCTGTTTTTGCTACCATGCCTTCAAGACTGCTATGTAAATGAGCTCTGTGATTGGCTACCCTGAGTTTTGTCTCATTAGCAGTCCAGGCTAAAACACTCCTAACTTATATATGAAGGAGCGGAGCTGAACTCCTGTAGGCTGAACAGGTGGATATATGTAAATGTGTCAGTTTTTGTGACATCACAGAAATAGTGCGTTCAAAACAGCCTTTTTTGCAGTTTAGTTTCCTTATATGGATTGTATGGTCTGAGGTTTGTTTTAAAGGGGACCATATTATGGAAAAACTAATTTTCCTCACTTTTTTAAGACTTCAGCAGAAAAAATAAAACACAAGGAAAATGTCATTTTGAGCTCCATTCTAGAGAAACTTACTGAGTCAGAACTGTTCACAGTGGTGGTGATAGGAACCAGACGTCCACCTCTAAAAGCTCCCTCACAGAAAGTTCCTTCATGAAATGGTTATGAATTCACTGCCTGATGACTGAGACACTGTTTTATGATAGTTTTGAGAAGATTTCGGCCTTAAAATCCATAGATGGCGAAGGGATATATGCTGTGATTGGTTCTTTCACTCAAGCAGTGTGATGATTGGACAGTAATGGTTGAGAGTAGGCATGGGCGATACCACATAGATTTTCTTGTCGTTCTAATATGAAGAACACGTAAAAGTTCTACAGTGAAAACTAAAACGGTGGGCATAAAAAATTACATTTGTTCGCCTTTGCATTAGATTAAATAAACTGCCACATAAACCGTCTGCCTAGGGAAATGACATGACATTATAGAGCATTCAGTGCATTTCCTGTGGCCATTTGTGTGAAAAGAGAGAAAAAGCAGTTCCTGTCCTACACATTTATTTGCTGTGCTAATTTTTTATCATCTCCCTCTCTTTTCACACAGACGGCCACAGGAATATATGTATGTTTCCTGGGACAGTGGGCATTCTGTAATCCTTGCTACAGAGAGGCTGTGAGAGGGGTGGGGTGGTGTGCCTAATGGACTCTGCTCAGACTTTGGTCACTGGGGATGACTCCTTTGAAAGGGGGTGGGGGGTGGGGGGCATGTAGCATCCTGCTACTGGCCTCGGATGCACAGGAGTCATGGCCACATACGGAGCACCACGAGGGTACCGGACTCACATTAAGAAAAGATGTTAAAAATGAGCTCACACATTGTTCGTGGTTTTCTGTGTTGGTTGAGATATAGTGATGCTGTATTGGTGTCTACCATCAAGTTGTATGCTATTGATGACCTGTCTGTTATCCTGGTCATTCAGTGAGCAACCCTCCAGTTCAATAAAAGAGCATTCATTTGAAGCGTTATGTTTCCAGTGTCTTTTTCTCCTACACTAGTGCCACAATACTGTAGCATCTATGCGGAGAAGAGCCAGAGGGAAACATTGCGCATGCAGACACATACTCTTTTATTGAACAGGCAGCAGGGGAGACCTGCCACTCAGCTCTATTCAAGCAGCAGGTATAGCAGCCCGGTCATTTCAAGCCACACAGCTCCCCTCCGCGGTAGACACTAGACCCACATGAACCGCCACACAACCCGACACAGAATAACACGTCAACTTACAGTGTAAACTATGAACATTACATTTTTTCCACACAGTCTTTCACCACCCTGCTGTACAAAATCATAGAAATCATTAAAAGGTTCTGCTGGCTCCTGGTGGTGTCCAATAGTCACTACCGGTTTTCTGTGTTTTTCCTGATGGGTTGATATCACTGTGTAAAGGACTCTAATGGTTTAACAGGTGTTCTGGGACTGATTCTAAATGCACTTGATGGTTTCCTAATGGGATCTAAAGGTGTCCTACAGGAAAAATGTTGTATCTAATGGTAACCATTAAGCCAATTTCCATTGGGAAGCAAAATTATCAAGTTTTAACCCTAATGGTTCTAATGGTCATTTTTCAGCAGGACAGTCCAGAATTGTTTATTTAACCCATTAAAGGCTAATCTGTTACCAGTGTGGCTGAACCGATGGTGAGTGCTCTGTTAAACTGGTATGGAAGATCTACGAAAATTTTGTAAATGTATCAGTTATATAAGTTTAAAATATAATGTTTACTGTAAGGTTCGCTTGTAAGACTTTCTGTTGTGACAATGGTGAGAACTAGGGGGCGTCTTATCCACAGTGGGCTGGTGTGGCTGCAGATTTTCATTCTAACAAAGCAGGATCAGTAAAGACTGAGATCAACTGATTTAACAGGTCAGGTGAGCTTCTGCTTGAAATGAAAACTCGCAGTCGCAGCGGCTCTGGATAAAATTGGACACCTCTGAGCTACCCAATCATAACACACTTATTTTTTTCCTATTTACAATAATAGCCTTATTTACAAACTGGTCAGTAACTGTATCGGTGTGGTTCCCCCTTTAGTCCAGGTGGGGGCGCTAATTGTATCAGTGTGGTTCCCCTGCAGTCCAGGTGGGGGCACTAATTACGTCAGTGAGCTTCTCCAACCCCAGTAAAGCGGAGAAGCAGGAGCTCCGCTCTGGTCAGCAGTCCACGCCTCCGAGCTGCTACAGTGTTGTTGGAGGAGCCGAACAGGAGCTGCTCTCATCGAGGTACAACTCAGTTTAACAGCTCTACATTGGCTTTTACTGCACCAGCTCACTAACGCTGGGAGAGATGTTCACTTTCTGAACAGCAGGGTGAAAATATGGAGACCAGCTCAGGAGCAGCTTTAATCCAGACTTCACTGAACTGGAGGACTTACTGATACGTTATCTTACAGATACATCTAATGCTGCATTAAAGTGCTGTCATAAATATTTACGAGAGCGCAGATGAGCTGAACCTCAGTGTTGTATTCGAACTCACACACAGCCAGAAGATGGTTCTTCAGGTTTTTTTTTAGTGAAGGAGGGGGTTCTGTTTTGAACCATGAGTTCTGTATAGAACCATTTTATGCTTGTTTTTTTCTGATTAGTTTTTTGTTTTTATTAGTGAACAGTTTGTCATTACTGAGCAATAATTTTGGGATAAGAAATTATATACATGCGGTAACACTGATGTGGTGGTGGTGTGTTAGTGTGTGTTGCGCTGGAATGAGTGGATCAGACACAGCAGTGCTGCTGGAGTATTTAAACACGGTGTCCACTCACTGTCCACTCTATTAGACACTCCTACCTTGTCAGACCACCTTGTAGATGTAAAGTCAGAGACGATAGCTCATCTGCTGCTGCACAGTTTGTGTTGGTCATCCTCTAGCCCTTCATCAGTGGTCACAGGACGCTGCCCACAGGACGCTGTTGGCTGGATATTTTTGGTTGGTGGACTATTCTCAGTCCAGCAGTGACACTGAAGTTTTTAAAACTCCAGCAGCACTGCTGTGTCTGATCCACTCAGACCAGCACAACACACACTAACACACCACCACCACGTCAGTGTTACTGCAGTGCTGAGAACGATCCACCACCCAAATAGTACCTGCTCTGTGAGGGTCCATGGGGGTCCTGACCACTGAAGAACAGGGTAAAAGGGGGCTAACAAAGTATCAGAGAAACAGATGGACTACAGTCTGTAACTGTAGAACTACAGAGTGCACCTATATAGTAAGTGGAGTTGATAAAATAGACAGGTCAGTGCAGCTAAAGAATGCTGCACTGAACTGTGGGGTATGCGGGTGGGGCCTTCTGCACTGAATGTGAATGTAATTTCTGCCAGGGTCACTTGCCTGTCGGACAATTCTAGCCAGACACTGCCGGTCACGATCATTAAACACCTGTGGGCAGCCACCGTGCTGTCCACTGTAGGTGGTAATGCCTTCTATGATGTATTCCTGGTACACAAGTGACTCTGTGGATCAAGGAATGTTAAATGCCCGCACAATCAGAAATGGAATGTCCCATCCATCTGGCACCCACTATATTGCCTCGTTCAAGCTCTGATAATTCACGTCACCTTGTCATGAGCACTCTGGCCAGTGTTCAACCTCACTCACAAGATAACATCTCACAGCTATAACAGGTGTGGGTGTTCCTAAGCTGTCCCCTGAGGCAACACCACTTCATAACCAGTTTACACACTGCTATGCCATGACTTGTGGCACATCAGTGTATATAGTTTGTAAATTCAAGAATAACGGCTGTTCGAGAATAAAAATAACAGAAATTCTGAACTTAATCAGTGGCGTCCATGTACCTGTGGTCTGCACATGTGGGGGAGTCAGAATTCAGCCCTATACCTGTTTCAAAACTGAGAACCATTAAAACTTTGTTTTTGGTTTGTTTTACCTTTTGTCTGTTCAATTGGTTATTTTATATAAAACCAACTGAACATTGAGCCTTATTCATCAATATGTCTCTAAGTTTGTTCTTGAGAAAGAAAAAGTCAGATTCATGATGTGTTCTTAAAGGGCAGAACTGTTCTCATCTTTGTGGTCCTGAGTGTGTGTAGATTCTGTTCTTATCTAAGAACAAATTCCACATAAGAGAACATTGATGAACGTTAGAATCTTCATGAAAACTGCATAAGTGGGATTAAGAAGAAATTTATTCTTAAGAATGATTGGAGAGTGAGGCCCAATGTGTGCATTAAGTACAGTCTTGAATAATGTTGTTTCACATTGGTTTTTAAAAATAATAATTTTCTTTTTCTTTTCCAGAAATACTGTCCTGCTGCAAGTCTTCTCCTCGTGTGCATTTTCCTGCATGCCTTTAAATTGACCTCCACAAACACATCGAGAGAATTCCCCCCAACAGTAATACGTCAGATGAAATGAAGTGTGATAGTATGGTGTCCAAAAGAAGCTCTAGCTCTCAGAAGACATCTTCTAGTTCTCTCCACACCAAGACATCTCACAGGCAAAGAGAGAAGAATACAGGCAAGGAGAGGAATCACCACTGCCTGGACTGTGGGAAGAGTTTTACTCAGCAGAGTATTCTCAGAATACACCAGCGCATTCACACAGAAGAGAAACCATTTCATTGCTCAGAGTGTGGAGCAAGTTTTAACCAACTGAATCATCTCCAAACACACCAACGTATTCACACAGGAGAGAAACCGTTTCACTGTTCAGACTGTGGGAAGAGCTTTACTACACTTGGTAGTCTCCAAAGACACCAGCGCATTCATACAGGAGAGAAACCGTATCACTGCTTTGAATGCGGGAAACGTTTTAATGATGCATGTAATCTTCAACGACACCAGCGGACCCACACAGGAGAGAAACCGTATTACTGCTCAGAGTGCGGAAGGAGCTTTACTCGACATAGACATTTACAAGAACACCAGTACATCCACACAGGAGAGAAGCCCTTTCACTGCTCAGACTGCGGGAAGAGATTTAGTCACCTGAGTCCTTTCCGAATGCATCAGCGCCTTCACACAGGGCAAAAATCCTTTCAGTGCTCGGACTGTGGAAAGGGCTTTACTACCAATGGTAGTCTCCAGAGACACCAGCGCATTCACACAGGAGAAAAACCGTTTCACTGCTCAGACTGTGGGCGGAGCTTTAATGATGCATGTAATCTCGAAAGACACCAGTACATCCATAGAAACCAAGAGAAACCGTTTCACTGCTCAGAGTGTGGGAAGAGATTTACTCACCTGAGTCCTTTCCAAATACACCAGCGCATTCACACAGGAGAGAAACCGTATCAGTGCTCAGACTGCGGAAAGAGTTTCAACCACCTGAGTCATCTCAGAACCCACCAGCGCATTCACACTGGAGAGAAACCCTTTCGTTGTTCGCACTGTGGTAAGAGTTTTAACGAAAGCAGCAATCTCCGAAGACACGGCCACATTCACAGGGGAGAGAAACCGTACCGCTGCTCAGAGTGTGGAGCCAAATTTGTTACACAGTGTCATCTTGAAACACACCAGTGCGTTCACACCAGAGAGAAACCGTATTACTGCTCAGACTGTGGGAAGAGCTTTACCACGCATGGTAGTTTCCAAAGACACCAGCGCATCCACACAGGAGAGAAACCGTATCAGTGCTCTCAGTGTGGGCGGAGCTTCAGGTATTCACGCACTTTAAAGTCACACAGGTGTCCTCCGAGAGATGTGGAAGTTCAAGACACAAGTTTGTTGTATCAAAACGCATGATGTTTCTTATTTGTTTGTTTTTACAGTAATTATTTGTCGTTGTAATGTTGTTTATATAGAAGCACATGCATCTATTGTTTAATCAAGACTTTCAAATCTATTTGCAGTTGTGTTTCTCTTTTATTTTCTGAAGACACGGTTACTTAAGCCGGGGTTACACTACATGACCTTTACCCTGATTTTAGCCCTGATTCTCAGTCTGGCCGAGTCTGAGCTGGTCGGCTCTAGTCTGCAGGTTTTTGGGTCAGTCGGGGTCGACAGTTGGAGGGAGAGAGAGAGAGAGAGAGAGAGAGAGAGAGAGAGAGAGAGAGAGAGAGAGTCGAGTCGAGTCGAGTCGAGTCGAGTCGTGTCGTGTCGTGCCGTGCGAGGGGCGCAGATCGCGTTTCAGACCAGTCCAAGTTTATCAAACGTTTAATTTTTTCACCCTGACTCTGAGCGTAATCTAGTGTAAACTAACCAATGACTCAATCTGAACTAATTCCTGCAACAGCCAGTGAAAACTAAGAGTAAAAAAGAAGAAAATACAGCAAGTAAACAAATAAAAATGGCGAAAAGTCTCTCACGTGTGGAGCGAAGCTTTTTATTGATTTGAGTTTAAGGCACAATCGAGTTTATGTATATTTAAAACTACCCACTGATCACATTTTTAAATCAGTGATTCTCACTTAAACAAATTTTGTTTACCTGTTGCTTCTTTACTTTGTTTGTAGCACGAACGGCAGAGAAAACAGCAGCAGCAGCTCCATGTTCGTTTATTTGTGTCTCCTAGTAACAGAAGAACGCATGAGTTCAGTGAGTTCTGTGAACTCTGTTTGGTCCAGCAGCTGAAAATGTAGTGTGTGATCCCTAATCATTTAGTGTGGATCCCCAATATTTCAGTTGCCCAAAAAATCTGCAAAAACCAGTGTGATAGTGTGAGACGCCCAGTCCGTTATAATCTGTTAGGACTTTAAAAGTCGTGTAGTGAAACCAAGGCTTTAGGTGAATATTCCTCGAGAAGGTTGTTCTGATTGAGATAAGAACTCATTCATGCTCATCTCCAAACAATGCTTGGAGATAAAATAGCACAACTAGAGATTTTAGATCTGGGATGAAGAGACTTTGCGGAGAATGTTAAGGCTCTTACAGACCGAATGCAAAGCAAATAAACAACACAAAAATGGGAAATATTCAGACACCATTTTTCACATCACAACTGTACGCATTTTTGGGGTGTTTTACTGCATTTGCACTATGACAAAAATGCTGATTTATGCAAAATTCTTTCACGCTTATGCTGTATACGGACTAAACTGATAACGAGCCATGAGACATTAAAAGTTTGGTAGCGTGATAATCAGATTATTGTTCAGTCTGATTGTAGAAGAATTATAAAGGTGCCGTGTTCAGAGTGTAACTTTCTTACATCAACAGAGACTTTTATTCTGTTGACTGTTTATCCCAGACTGACTGTTCAGCTGTTGAGCTGTTGAACTTACAGCAGATACCTTCAGAAAGTGTTTTTAAACCAGTTATCTGTGAATTAAAACAATAAAGACTTTGGACAAACAAGAAAACGTCCTCGGACTTTATTGGATATGAAGTGTAAAGAAATATGTTTCCTTCTTAAGATGTTTTTTGAACTGCGTTGTGGGTAAAATGCACTTATTGTATGAAATATTCACATCTTGTGTTCTGTCACTGATGATTTTGCACTGACTTTTATTAAATAAAGCTTAATTTTAAAAATGCAGATGAGCACATTTTGGAAAATGGTTTGTGTGTGGAATTCTCTTTGAAAGGAACAGCAGGATTTTACAGGAGTGAGCAGAAATATTCAGCAAAGAAACAAGGAAAAATATGAGTAGCTTGTTGTACCTAAAACTGTTGAGTAACATACTCCGAATGCTGTGCGTGGATCTCAGCTCGGTTCTGTATTCCCGTCTCCTGCGCTGCGATTGGCTAGCAGTACCGCGAGCAGGGCACGGAATGGACGTTCGCGTTGCCATAGCAACCACAGAACACGGTAGATCCTGAACGGCAGCCAGACCCTTCTCATGTTTTCCGTCTCCTTCACTGTAATTGGTTCGTTCTAACTCATGCAGTGCGCTGATTGGACAGTCGAGAAATGAGGAGGAACATCGAGCAAAAACACTGAATCTTTTTCACGGTTAACTGTTGTGTTTTTTTTCCCACACAGTCTATCACTGGTTCAGATTTAACACCAGTTTAAGGCTAAACTGGTAGCAGTGCTGGTGAACACAGTGAGCTGATGGTGAGAGCACTGCTAAACCGACCTCACTGCAAACATTTGATTGCAAACATTTGATTGCTGGTTGATAATTTTAGAGAGAAATGGACCTGTGGGAAAAGCTCACATTCTGCTCTATGAAAGAAATAAAACATGGTATATATATATACATATATATATATATATATATATATATATATATATATATATATATATATATGAGATTATTTAATAATCATCCACAGTGCGTGTATCAATTTTAATCATAGAATGAAATGTAATGGTCATTTTGGTGGGTGGGCTAATTCTAGTGTGATCTGTAACTGTTTTTTTTTTTTTGCGTTGCAACTTTATTTACCCTGATAGTAAGAGGATAGTAGTCCACTGTTGGCCCACTGATGGCAAAGCTGGTGGTCCACTGGCGTTTTGCTCAGCGTTTTCTGGGCGGCCGACCGTTGGTTAAGCAGAGTATTAGACAAAATTCCACTTATCATCACTCAGTTTCCACTCACAGTCCAATTTACTGATTTTTCCTTCCTTCCTTTCTTTAGTTACACTTTGTTACACAGTGTCAGCAACAACATTTTCTATAAAACCATTTTATATATTATAATGTTTGTCTAAGTTAATTTCCTAAAATAAAGGTCGCTGAGCATTCAAAATCTGTTTGGGGAGATTAAAAACAAGTTAAAGCTTGTATGCAGGACAGTAATCTGGGTGGTCCGAGGGGGGACCAGCAGTGGCAAAGGTGGGGGCGCTAATTGTGTCGGTGTGGTCCCCCTGCAGTCCAGGTGGGGGCGCTAATTGTCTGAGTGATCTTCTCCAACCCCAGTAAAGCGGAGAAGCAGGAGCTCCGCTCTGGTCAGCAGTCCACGCCTCCGAGCTGCTACAGTGTTGTTGGAGGAGCCGAACAGGAGCTGCTCTCGTCGAGGTACAACTCAGTTTAACAGCTCTACATTGGCTTTTACTGCACCAGCTCACTAACGCTGGGAGAGATGTTCACTTTCTGAACAGCAGGGTGAAAATATGGAGACCAGCTCAGGAGCAGCTTTAATCCAGACTTCACTGAACTGGAGGACTTACAGATACATTATCAGAGCTTGTTTTCTACCCAAACGCTGGACTGAGCCTGTGGGGGGTTTAATGCTGCATTAAAGTGCTGTCAGAAATACAGTGTTTATGAGGAGCGCAGATGAGCTGAACCTCAGTGTTGTGTTTACTAATGCGGTTTTTAGATGAGCCACACTCTTAAAAAGACGGTTTTCAGGGGTTCTTTAGTAAAGGCAATGGCTCTATATAGAACCATTTACATGTTTAAATGGTTATTTGCATGGTGAAATGTCAGATTGATGGAGTGTGTATGGCTGTATTTAGAAACATTTTTGAAAATAGTTCTATGTAGCACCAAATAGGATTCTTCTGTTAAAAGCACAACCCTTTTTACAAATTCTCTATCAATCTGAAGAAAGAATTCATCATGCAAAGAACCGTTTAAGCATGCGAATGGTTCTTTGAGCATTCATGGTCTAAATAGAACCATTGCTTAAAGAACCCTTGAAGAACCATCTTTATGTGTACAGCTGGGCGCTTGTCAGCAACTCAACAGCTGTCTGTATTTCAGTTATTCATCAGCCACTGCAGGATAAAATCATCTACAGGCCAAAATGCAGATGTAAACAGATGTAACGTGGAGAGACTAACTGGATAAAAACATCACTCATCTTGTAAACATTCTTTACTCTTCACTTCGTCACAATAACGAGAAATAAACACTCGATAATGATGGAAAACAAAAGTAAACTATAAACTTCATTTAGTGTGTGCCAATAATAGTATGGTGAAGGGAAAATAAATAATGCATAGCATAAAATTATAAACAAACAAAAGAAGTCAGACAGTAACTCAGTGATGGAACAAAGTGACCATATATTAGGGTAACTCTAATGACCCAGTCTGTGGGGTTATTCATATAACCCAGAGGTGCTAAATGTACAGCATTTGTCAGTTTTCTTTACAATATATATTTCAGACACCCCTGTTAATTGACTGTACTTTGGTTTTCAGTGCTTCTGTCTTGTGGAGGTTTGGAGGAGAATTACTACTTTACTTCTGGGCAAACCATGCCAAGTTGATCCCTAAGAGAAATGTTTCTCTGCTACATTATGAAGTTGAGCAGTGCTAACAGGTATAAACAGTGTCAATATATGGGCAGATATATTGATAAAATAGAAGGTTCACATAAAAATTTAGAGTTGTATGTGTTCTTCCTTAGAACATTTCTGGTAGCCAAGCTAGCCAGTTTTTTTTCTTCCCAAGAGCTTGACTGTCTGAACAGTTGAATGGACTGGTTTCTTTGATTTTGCTTGATCTGGTAGCCATACTAGTGAGCTCTGCTGATATATCTATATGGGACTGTTGCAAGCAAAACCGAGGAAAGCAGATAATAAAGGAAGTTTCTAGTGATTATTCGCCCTGGTAATGGGAAATAGTTCCTGGATGAGGGTTGTTGGTCAGTGGATCACCTGGTCAGCAGTTTGAAGACTGAAACCAACTGATCAAACAAGTAGAATCAGGCGTGCACCAGCTAGTTTGGAGTGAAAACCTGCAGCCACACCAGTCTTTTGTGGATAAGATTGGACACCCCCCGGATTAAGGAATGCTTCACTGAACAATCAAATTGTGAGCAGACCAGGGGTGGCAAACTGCGGTCCTGGAGGGTTATGGAGGGAACAGTTATATGAATGTTGGCTTATATTCCCTATTTCTGTTATTGCTATCCATGAACATAAATCTCTAGCTAGAAAATTAAAGAATCACAGTTACTTATATATAAAAATAACCGATATTCTGAACGTAATTGACAACAGTGATGTACACGGACTGACTGTTGTTCAAGTGAAGGGGAGTCAGAATTCATCCCTACAGCTGTTCAAAACGGCCTGAGAACCATTAAAGCTTTATTTTTGGTTTGTTTTTCTGTTTAATTCAGAATTGGCCATTTTATGTAACTGCTGAACATTATGTGCATGAGGCACAGTCCTGATTAATGTTGTTCCACTGAACTTAAAAGTAATTTGTTTTTTCTTTTCCAGAAGTGCTGTCCAGTTGCACGTCTCTCCTGCTGCTGGTGTCCACTTTCCTTCATGTCAAACTGTTGAAGTGAGGTGAAATAAAGTGTGAGAGTATGGTGTCCAAAAGAAGCGCTAGGACTCAGAAAACATTCTCTGGTTCTCTCCACACTAAGACATCTCACAAACAAACTGAGAAAAATGCAGGCAAGGAGAGAAATCACCACTGCCTGGACTGTGGGAGGAGTTTTACTCAGCGGAGTATTCTCAGAATACACCAGCGCATTCACACTGGAGAGAAACCGTATCAGTGCTTAGACTGTGGGAAGAGCTTTAATCGACAGAATCATCTCCAAACACACCAGCGCATTCACACTGGAGAGAAACCGTATCCCTGCTCAGAGTGTGGAAAGAATTTTACTACACACAGTAGTCTCCTGAGACACCAACGCATTCACAAAGAGGAGAAACCGTATTGCTGTTCAGACTGCGGCAGAAGCTTTTGTACTGGAGACACTCTCCGAATACACCAGCGCATCCACACAGGAGAGAAGCCCTTTCACTGCTCAGACTGTGGGAAGAGTTTTAATCAGCAGAGTCATTTCAAAGCACATCAGCGCATCCACACCGGAGAGAAGCCGTATCAGTGCTCAGACTGCGGGAAGAGCTTTACTTTAAGGAGTTATCTCCAGCTACACCAGCGCATTCACACCGGAGAAAAACCTCATCGCTGCTCAGAGTGCGGGAGGAGTTTTAATCAAATGGGTCATCTCCAAATACACCAGCGCATCCACACCGGAGAGAAACCGTATTACTGCTCAGACTGTGGGTGGAGCTTCAGGCATTCCATTTCTTTAAAGCATCATAAGTGCACTATGAAGGAGAAAAACAGTCACAGCACATGAATTTGTGTTATAAAACCATAATTTTCTTTAGCAGTTTAAGCTCAGTTGAATGTATATGTATGTATCAGGAGTGGACCAATACCGCTTTTTCATGTTCGATACCGATACCATAACCTTAAGTGTCTGCGTTCCCCAAACCAAACTGATACCATCTTTTTTCCTCTCTTAAGCCTTATTGGGACAGGATTAGTTTTCCATGGGCAGGTGGGGTAATACCAGTTTACTTCAGGACGTCTGCAATGTTTATGAGTGATTCTCCTAGGATAAGTAATCTCAGTATAAATGACAGAAATTGGAGTGGCTCGGTTTATGCTCTATATTTACTCCAAAAAAGAATAGAAAAGATGTTAAAACATTTAGGCCCAATCCCATTTCTTCTTTTTAACCCCACCCGTTGTTTTAGAGTGTCACCCTAATGGTTGAAATTTTGCCCTATGAAATGGGACAACACTCCAAAAAAAACAACAAAAAACATTGCTTCATTAACAGCTACTAGTGCTGCTCTGTAGGCAACCCGGCCCGTCTTCAGTGATAGCAAGGAAAAGGGAAAAGTTCAGCTCCTCACTGCTGGGCTTTAGTTACATTTAGGGCATCGTATGCCTTCAAAGAGGGGGACAATTATTTATTATCACCCCCCCTAATTCTTCAGTGATATGAAGCTGAAGTCAGATATTCACCAGCTTCTTGTTCAAATTTTCCTGTTCCACCTTAAATGGTGCAGCAGTTACATTCTGGCGCTTCAGGCGTCAATACTGCTGACCTGTTTAAGGTGGAACGGGTAAGGTAGCTAGCTAGCTACTGAGACATTAGCATGTTATTAGCGATTCTTTTATGCTTGTTATGAAGAAAATGACCATAACACACTGAAACGGCATTAAACTAAGATAAAACAATGTTTATTTTTCTCATAACTCTCTTTTTGGAGTCTCTGAAAAACCTCCATTTGGAGGGCCATGTAGCCCAAACACTTCGCCCTACCCCTCTGTCTCAACAAAAATTGGGACACCCTAAACCTAGACGTGAACGCACAAAACAGAGGGCTAAGGGTTAAGTGGTAGGGGCAAGGGGTGAACTGGGATTGGGCCTTAATTTAGCCATCATTCTGTTTAACCATTCATCTTTCTGTCTTAAATGAAAGCAGGGCCTGGGACTGACGGGCTCTAAAGAAATCTTAAAATGTTTTCAATATTAAATTATTAACCTTTCATCATTAATAGAATATACTATTTACAATGTACATATATAACTAATGGCTTCTTTTTCCTTTCTTGTTTTTGTCAAAAACTAAACATCCAGAGAGCCTCTGCATTACTCCCCATATACATGAAATGGTACAGTCTTGCTTCCAAACCAGGCATGAATGGTACTTGGTACCCCTACCAATCAATCAGACCTGTCTCCCCATCCCCATAGCCCTACCAATGAACCAGCTCTGTCTCCCCATCCCAATACCCCTACCAATGAATCAGACCTGTCTCCCCCTCCCCATACCCCTACCAATGGACCAGCCCTGTCTCCCCATCCCCATACCTCTACCAATGTACCAACCCTACTCCCTCTCTCCATACCCCACCAATGAATAAGACCAGTCTCCCCCTCTCCATACCTCTACCAATGAACCAGTCCTGTCTCCCCATCCCTGTACCCCTACCAATGAACCAACCCTACTCCCCCTCTCCATACCCCTACCAATGAACCAGCCGTGTCTCCCCATCCCAATACCCCTACCAATGAATCAGACCCATCTCCCCTCCCCATACCCCTACCAATGAACCAGTCCTGTCTCCCCATCCCGCTACCAATGTACCCACCCTACTCCCCATCCCCATACCCCTACCAATGAACCAGACCTGTCTCCCCATCCCAATACCACTACCAATGTACCCACCCTACTCCCCATCCCCATACCCCTACCATTGAACCAGCCCTGTCTCCCCATCCCCATACCCCTACCAATGAACCAGACCCGTCTCCCCATCCCCATACCCCTACCAATGAACCAGACCCGTCTCCCCATCCCCATCACCCTACCAATGTACCAACCCTACTCCCACTTTCCATACCCCTACCAATGAACCAGACCTGTCTCCCCCTCTCCACACCCCTACCAAGTACCAACCCTACTTTCTCTCTCCATACCCCTACCAATGAACCAGCCTTGTCTCCCAACTGAAGAAAGAGGTAAGCAGTATTGTGCTGAATGACATGTCAGTTGTCATTAATGCAGAATGTCCAAGGGAATTTCTTTTATTACTATTCATTTATGTTAAGACAATTTTCAATTCAAAGATTTTACCATTAAAATTACATTTAACCTGCAAAAGATGGCCTTCAGCTCATTTCTTATTGAGGGTATCAGGCTTGCATCACATAGTAAATTGCACTGTATACAGAATGTTGCGTGCGTCTCTGCACAGTGTTATGTTTTCAGGGTTTGTGAGGCCTGTGGTGATGGGGCCCAAAATGCCTGATGGTTCACCTAAGTGTGGTTCCCCTGCCGTCCAGGTGGGGCCGCTAATTGTAACAGTGTGGTTCCCCTGCAGTCCAGGTGGGGGCGCCTGTTGTATCAGGGCGCCTCTGCAACCCCAGGTAAAGCGGAGAAGCAGAAGCTCCGCGCTGCTCCAGTGTTGTTGGAGGAGACGAACAGGAGCTGCTCTTATTGAGGTACTACTCTGTTTAACAGCTCTACATTGGCTGTCTAGTGTTTTTGGTTCTAAGAACTATTGCTTTTAATCAAGAACCCTAGACGAATCATTTTTTCGGAGGCTTGTCAACAACTGGCTGTGTTTAATATATTCAGCAGCCACACATGGAACTCTGCAGGATCACCTACTGACCAAAATACACATGTAAGCAGATGTTTTGTGGAGCTGTTAACTGGATTAAAACATCCCTTATGTTTTAAACATCCTCTGCTCTTTACTTTCCCGGCTAAAAACCGGAAGGCCAAATCTTAGCCGAGGAGTTTTTGCCCTGATTGATGTCACAGTAACAACCTGCTAAAGGTTAATTTACACACCATAACAGCGCTGGTGTTCGAGAATCATTAGCATAGCGCAGGAACCGTGTTTACAAGGTTTTCTTGTGTTTTTAATGTGAGTTCAGTAGCTCAGTATTCTTACCCCCTGATGAGGTGATGTAGGCCAGGCTAACAGGAATCAGTAAACCTCCTAATGTGAACGTTTTACTGTTTACTGTTACGTGAAAACAGTAAACATGAGGAAAATCTGTTATTATAAACTGTATTTTTCTGGTTGTGGTGTGAGACTGATAGGATTTACTGATGCTAACGTTAGCCATGTTAGCCTGCTATGTTTGTTGACACTCTCTTACTGGAGGCTCACTGACAGCTGTAGCTCTTTATATGATATTTCTCTAAATTTATAGCTGAATATTGGGTCATTTTTAAGTGGACATTAACATTATCTGTATAATTTGATGTAGGGAGTTAACTTTAGCCTGGCCACTGAGTTATATAGCTGACTGACGTTAGTTAAACAAACTTGATTAGGCTAGACTTTCTATCATCTCTATTCTCTCAGTGTGTGATACACTACTTTTGATGAACTGCTGTTTTGGAGTGTAAAATGTATATGTTTTGTTGTGGGTCTTCTCTATTATTGAACAGTGTCATTAATGAGGAATAATTTGATGTTAAAAAAAAACAACATATTACATATAAAACAAACAAAAAAAGCCAGACAATGTTCTAAAGAAAAGAGATAAAATGAACCCAGTACTGGGTCAATTGACCATTCTGTCGGGTAACACTTATGACCCAGCCTGTTATTCATATAACACAGAGGGTCTTCTGTTACTCCTGCTGAAAAAAATCATAGAGGCCATTGAAAGTTTCTGTTGGTTCCATGGTTCCTATCCCCATACCCCTACCAATGTACCAACCCTCAGTGCACAAAGCAACCTCCATAAAGGCATGGCTGGGTGAGTTTGGTGTGGAAGAAGTTGACTGGCCCTTACAGAACCCTGACCTCAACCCCATCAAACACCTTTGGGATGAACGAGAATGGAGATTGCGAGCCAGGCCCTCTCGTCCAACCTCTCATTTCCACAAAAGGAAGTTTCTAGGAACTCTTAGCCCTGGTAATGTTTGGGTGAGGGTTGTTGGTTGGTGGCTGATAGATTAAAGAAATGCTTCATTGAACAATCAAATTGTGAGCAGACACTTTAGATCAGCGGTAGCAATCTATGGTCCTGGAGGGCCATTTGGTCATTTTCTTTCTCTTAGTTCTCCACCCAGCCCCTGCCTTAGACAGCAGCTGTTGTGTTAAATTCAGACTGGTCTGCAGAATCTGAATCCCCTTAGTGTGCATACTGCAGGTATATGAATGCTAGCTTATATTCTTTATTTCTGTTGTTGCTATCCAAAAACATATATTTTTAGTTAGAAAATTGAAGAATCACAGTTGTTCATGAATAAAAATAACAGAAATTCTGAACATAATTGGTAGCATCCATGTTACTGTAGGGACAGGCGTTCACACGAATGAGAGTCAGAATTCAGCACTACTATCATATGTTTAAACAAAAAGTTTTATTTTTTTTTCTTTTCTAGAAGTGAAGTCCTGATGCAAGTCTGCTCCTGCTTCTGGTGTCCACTTTCCTACACATCTTTAAATTTACCTCCACCAACACAACAAGAGAATTCCCCCCAACGCTAACACGTAAGACTGTTGAAGTCCAGTGAAATTAAATGTGAGAGTATGGTGTCCAAAAGAAGCTCCAGCTCTCAGAAAACATCCTCTGGTACTGTCCACGCTAAGACATCTCACAGACAAACTGAGAAAAATGCAGGCAAGAAGAGAAATCACCACTGCCTGGACTGTGGGAAGAGTTTTACTTATCAGAGTATTCTCAGAATACACCAGCGCATTCACACTGGAGAGAAACTGTTTCAGTGCTCTGACTGTGAAAAGAGTTTTAATCACCTGAGTCATCTCAAAACCCACCAGCGCATTCACACTGGAGAGAAACCGTTTCATTGTTCAGATTGTGGAAGGAGCTTTAATACTAATGGTAGTCTCCAAAGACACCAGCGCATTCATACAGGAGAGAAACCGTATGTCTGCTCAGAGTGTGGGGAGAGCTTTCGTTATGGAGATACTCTCCTAAAACACCAGCTTGTTCACGCAGAAGAGAAACTGTATTGCTGTTTAGACTGTGGGATGAGTTTTCATAATGAAGTTACTCTCCAAAAACACCAGCGCATTCACACAGGAGAGAAACCTTTTCATTGCTCAGAGTGTGGAAAGAGCTTTTGTAATGCAGATACTCTCCGAAAGCACCAGCGCATCCACACAGGAGACAAGCCTTATCATTGCCCAGAGTGTGGAAAGAGATTTACTCAGCAGAGTCATCTCAAAGCACACCAGCGCATCCACACAGGTGAGAAACCGTATCACTGCTCAGAGTGCGGGAAGATATTTACTTTAAAGAGTTCTCTCCAACTACATCAGCGCGTTCACACTGGAGAGAAACCGTATCACTGTTCAGAGTGCGGGAGGAGTTTTACTAAACTGAGTAATCTCCAAACACACCAGCGCATTCACACAGGAGAGAAACCGTATCACTGTTCAGACTGCGGGAAGAGCTTTCGTCATGGAGATACTCTCAGAATACATCAGCGCATTCACACAGGAGAGAAACCATATCAGTGTTCAGAGTGTGGAAAGAGATTTAATCAACAGTATCATTTCAAAGCACATCAGCGCATTCACACAGGAGAGAAACCGTATCAGTGCTCAGACTGTGGAAAGAGCTTTACTGTGAAGAATGATCTCCAACAACACCAGCGCATTCACACTGGAGAGAAACCATATCACTGCTCAGAGTGTGGGAGGAGTTTTAGTAAACTGAATTATCTCCAAGCCCACCAGCGCATTCACACGGGAGAGAAACCCTATCACTGTTCAGACTGTGGGAAGAGCTTTACTACACATGGTAGTCTCCAAAGACACCAGCGCATCCACACAGCAGAGAAACCGTATCGGTGCTCAGAGTGCGGGAAGAGCTTTAATCAACCGAATCATCTCCAGACGCACCAGCGCATTCACACAGGTGAGAAACCATATCTTTGTTCAGACTGTGGGAAGAGGTTTACTTCACAGAGTAATCTCCAAAGACACCAGCAAATTCACACAGGAGACAAACCGTATCAGTGCTCAGAGTGTGGGAAGAGCTTCCGTAATCCAGATGATCTCCGAAAACACCAGCACATCCACACAGGAGAGAAACTGTATCGGTGCTCAGAGTGTGGAAAAATATTTAACGTAAAAAGTTACCTTCAACTACACGAGCGCATTCACACAGGAGAGAAACCATTTTACTGTTCAGACTGTGGACGGAGCTTCAGGCATTCCGTTTCTTTAAAGCATCATAAGTGCACTATGAAGGAGGGGAGAAGCCACGACATGTGAAATTGTGTTATACAACAAAAAATGTTTTTTTCAGCAGTTTCTTAAGTTTACATGACTATGTATTTATGTATGCATGTATATTTGTATGTAAGCAGCTGTGAATAGTTTCTAAGGAGGGTAACTATTAATGTTGTAAGAAAAATATGATATAATTATTATCTTTAATGACTGGTAAGTATGTATGTATGCATATGTGTGAAGATATTCATAATAGTAGCATAATATTCAAAATTTCAGTTTTGATCAAGTGCATTCATGACCTCTCAGGCCACTGTCACTGGAGTCTAGAGATTGGGTGGTTGATGCCACTGTCCAGCATAGTTTTTGGATACTTTAACAAACAGCAAACTAACAACAGCAATTGCAACATGGAAATTACTGTCCTACTACCCTTGACACAAGAAGTAATGTAAGAGTGAGAGACTACGATCAGAGAGAAGATGGAACCATTGACTGTATGTATGATATACATATTCATAAACCCTTTTGCAGATAAAATGCAAATAAAAACACAGCAGTGGTTTGCAAATACATGATATACAATGATATTCACCGTCCTATTTACTTATTTCTCCTTTATTTCCTTCTTTCGTTATCCTTTATGAATTAGTTTAGTAAATAATAAATAATCTAGCACAGTGTTAACAACATTTTGAACAAAGTAATTTTATATTAGGCCTAGTCAATAATTTATTAGGTGTTTGTAGTATTTGTCTTGCTTTATTTTCCAAAATAAATGGTTGTGTGCATTTAAAATATGTTTGAGGAAACAAAGTAGACTTTGTATTCAGGACAGTGATCTGTTCAGGGTTGTCAGAGGGTGGACCAGCAGTGGCATACAGTCAGTATCTTATCAAGACAGTGGATCAATATATGCTTGCTCTCTGGGCACAAATTGTTGAAAATTTCCCCTTGTGGTTCCCGTGCAATCCAGGTGGGGGCGCTAATTGTATCAGTGAGCTTCTCCAACCCCAGTAAAGCGGAGAAGCACAAGCTCAACTCTGGTCGGCAGTCTACGTCTCAGTTCATCTTCTACAGTGTTGTTGGAGGAGCCAAACAGGAGCTGCTCTCATCGAGGTACAACTCAGTTTAACAGCTCTACATTGGCTTTTACTGCACCAGCTCACTAACGCTGGGAGAGATGTTCACTTTCTGAACAGCAGGGTGAAAATATGGAGACCAGCTCAGGAGCAGCTTTAATCCAGACTTCACTGAAGAGTACAACTTGCATCTAAGCAGAATTGACCAGATATACTGCTGTGTATAGGGTTCTGTATAGCACCAAAAAGGGTTATAATGTAACACTTAGGATGTAACAATAGAAGAATCCTTTTTGGTGTTATATAGAACTATATACAACACATTCTTCATCAATCTAAAGAACAATTTCACCATGCAAAAATGATTTAAGCATATAAATGGTTCTTTAACTAAATAGAACCATTGTCTTTATTAAAGAACCTGTGAAGAACCTAGAGTGTAGATCTTTATTGAGGTCGTGCCTACTTGTTCATCTGGTTTAGGACATGATACGAGTTACTGAGCCTGTTTACACATAGCAGCTTCAAATAGTTTGAAGAATTTGCAGGTGTGCAGTGATGGTGTGTGATCAGTCTGTGGTGGATCTAGATTAATCCTGGTGGATCTGCTTCCAATAGTGACCAGAGTAAATTTAACAGTGAAAATTAAGACACTGACATCGGATGATCTGACCAAGGGGTAAAATATAGACGATAAAGAGTAGAGGGCCAAGCACTGATCCCTGGGGGACACCTTGTATAACATCCAGGACTAATCTAGACCCTCTCCAAAACATTCATCTGGACTAGTCTAGACCCTCTACAACACATCCACCTGGACTAGTCTAGACCCTCTCCAACATCTAACTGCATTAATCTATACCCTGTACAACATCCACCTGCACTAATCTCACAATTACAGCACTGATAGCAAAGTTATGCTTACCAAGGGCAAAAAAGTGGTGTCTATTAGATAAATAGGATCTGAACTAGACGAGGGCAGCATCAGAAATGTCAATAGCTGAAAAGTGGGAGATTAGTATGGCATCATTAACGGTGTCAAATGCAGCACTTGGATCTAAGAGGAGCAGAATATTGATAGCACCAGAATCAATAAACAGGAGAAAATAATTAAGAACCCATAGAAGTGCTGTCTCAGTGCTATACATTGTATGAAAGCCAGATTGGTAAGGTTCAAAAAGATCATTATTTATCAAAAAAATTAAAAAAACAGCAATCGAGATGCTACAACCCTTTCTAACAGTTTGGCTAAAAAGGACAGATTTGAAATTGGGCGATAGTGTTCAAGGGTGGCTGCATCCAGACCCGGTTTCTTAAGAATGGGAGTGACAGCAGAAGTTTTAAGGGCAGTAGGGACATAACCTGAAGCAAGAGACATGTTAATGACATGGCAGATGGGGTCAGAGATAACTGAGAGACACTTTTTAGGATGCTAATGTGTGAACAGTGAGAGAAGTTTTCTTATAAATGCCTGCGTGTGGTTTTCATAGCACAGAGTTCAGGGGTAAACCAAGAGGAGGAAAGACTAGAAAGGGCCAGTCAAGTATTCAGAGGGGCCAGCTGGTCAAGTACATCAGAAATGGTGCCATTAAACAGAGATATCATATCAGAGATATTAGAGAGTATCACCAGGGCAAGAGAATTGAAAAATAGAGAAGAGGGGAGAAAACTGCAGAAGACCAGAAAAAGTCTGAGAACCAGTGGTCTTGATATTACGAACAGAGTGAGGACCAATCAACCAATTTCAGGGCCATAAATTCAAAAGAAGTAATTTCATGAATCTCAGAGAGGTTAATTTTGAGTGTACTATTAAAGACAACAGCCAGATCACCACCTTTTTCCTGGGACCTGGGCTTAGCTAGATAACTATAGTCATAAGGTAACAACATATTGAGATGGAGAAAAAGCGACTGGCATAACACGTACGTAGAGGAGTCCAGGCGATAATGAGAGGAAAAACTGCACAGTTGTACTGGAATGTAGCAAAAAGCCATAGTCCTGCAGTGACAAACCAGTAAACCAGCTACAGTTACACCATGGCAGAAAAGGAGTAGGAAAAACAGCAGATCTCCAGTAGTGACCATGGCACCTTTATTCAGTAGCAAGAACAGGACAACAATCCAGTCAAAATGTTCATACGTCTTTATAAAGCTCTGTTGAGAATCATTTTAACTATGCTACATTAGCCAACCCGCTGAGCCAAACACCAACCAGCCGAAGTACGGCAAGGATGCGTAAAGCACCTATACAAATCTAAAATTTGCAGCCAGGAACTTGAGAAATGAGTAAAGACTCACAAAGAAGCAGCCAAAGGTGCAGAACCATGAGAAGAGAGCTCACTGCAGAAAGGGAGGTAAAGTTGGAAGCACAAACACAGAGCAACCGACAAAGAGGCAAGGAGAGCAAAAACTTATAAAAACTGAGTGCAAAAGGATCACAAAGCAAAAGGAGGCCAGCCAAGAAGACCAGAGATGGGGGAGGGTACAAAACACGTAAATAATCAAGAAGTGCCAGCAACAAATACGCAGGACATACTCTCAACCGGAACCGGAAGGTGAATGTTGGAAAGAGTCTAGATTAGTACAGGTGGGTGTTGAAAAGGGTCTAGACTAGTCCTGATGGTTGTTGGAGATGGTTTAGATAAGTCCAGGTGCATGTTTTAGAGAGGGTCTAGATTAGTCCAGGTGGATGTTGGAGAGGGTCTAGACTGGTTTAAGTAGATGCTTTGGAGAGGGTATAGATTAGTCCAGGTAGATGTTGGAAAGGGTCTAGATTAGTCCTGATGGATGTTGGAAAGGGTCTAGATTAGTCCAGGTGCATGTTTGGCGAGGGTATAGATTAGTCCAGGTGGATGTTGGAGAGGGTCTAGACTGGTCTAAGTGGATGTTTTGGAGAGGGTATAGATTAGTACAGGTAGATGTTGGAGAGGGTCTAGACTGGTCTAAGTGGATGTTTTGGAGAGGGTATAGATTAGTACAGGTAGATGTTGGAAAAGGTCTAGATTAGTCCAGATGGATGTTGCAGAGGGTATAGATTAGTACAAGTGGGTGTTGGAGAGGGTCTAGACTGGTCCAAGTGGATGTTGGAGAGGGTATAGATTAGTGCAGGTAGATGTTGGAGAGAATCTAGACTAGTCCAGATGGATGTTGAAAAATGTCTGGATTAGTCCACATGGATGTTGGAAAGGTTGGATGTTGGGGGGCATCAGTGCATTCAGTGATCTGGCTGCCTCGGGGAAGAAGCTGTTGTGGAATCTGGAGGTGGTGGAACTCTGCTCTGGTACATTCTGCCAGAGGCAGGAAGGGTGAAGAGTCCATGAGAGGGTGGAAGGGGCTGTCCACAATGCTGCCAGCCTTGTTTTACTCGACAGAGTATTCTCAGAATACACCAGCGATTCACACAGGAGAGAAACCGTATCAGTGTGTGAATCATCTCCAAACACACCAGCGTATTCATACAGGAAAGAAGCTGTTTGACTGTTCTGAGTGTGGGAAGAGTTTCAGTCCTTTTTGAATACACCAGCGATTCACACTGGAGAGAAACCGTATCAGTGCTCAGTCTGCGGGAGGAATTTTAACCACCTGAGTTATCTCAAAACCCACCAGCGCATTCACACTGGAGAGAAACCGTATTACTGTTCAGACTGTGGACGGAACTTCAGGCACTCAAACACTTTGAAGTCACACTAATGTGCTCCAAGAGATGTGAAAGTTCATGACACAAGTTTGTTGTATCAGAACACGTGATATTTGATTTACATCAGTGGTGTAACGTGTTTTGTGTGTGAATATGATTCAAATAAAATCTATTGTATTGATTATTTTTGCACTGTAAGATAGAGGTCATGTTCATCATTGTTCCTATCTCCTTGGCTACAGATAAGGCAAAATCAAGGAAAGCAGATATGAAAAGGAAGTTTAATTCAGGAATGGGGATGCTGCCATAATGACAGAGCCTGAGAGTTTGGAACTAGAATAAAAGTGACTTTGGTGGATTGATTGAGACCATTAAAGTTGTCAAACACTAAACACAGCGCAAATAAATGACATGAATGTGTGAACGACACTTAGATCTTGTCAGTTATTCATATGCTCAAATTAATTTATTACCTGAATTAACCACACAAATGAATATTTTTTGGTGTGTGAAGGTTTTTAGAGGTCTGCAAGCAGAAATATGCCGAGACCTTCTCTTTGTTTACTGAACATATACAGTTGGGCCTCATTCTCCAACCGTCCTTAAGAACAAAATTCTTAAAACTTGCACACTTTTGACAAAGACTCTGACATTCACCAACGTTTTCTTATGTGGGATTTGTTCTTAGGTAAGAACAGAATCTACACACAATCAAGAGCACAAAGGTGAGAACAGTTCTCTTTAAGAACACATCATGAATCTGGCGTAGACTTTTTCTTAGGACCTTTCTCAAGAACATATTTAAGAACACATTAAGGAAGATATTAGACAATGAGGCTCATTGTGTGTATTTGCAA